ATCTTAAATATTAATTTAATCATTTTCTACCTCATCAAAAATTTTCATTTTCAATGTTATAAATCAAAATTTAAATAGTTTCTTTAATATTTACTAAAATTGGATTAAAAGAAGTTTTATCTTTTATGTATATTCACATACTATTAATAATATTTCATTGAATAGAAAAATTAAAGTCAATCACGTTTATTTTAAATACTTTCAGCTATCCAATGTGTTTATGTTTATCTTCCTAATCATATGGAATGGTTAGGATTCTCATTAAACGATACTCGAAACATAACAGCTATTGCTTCACTGGTGTCAGTGATTTGTCCAATAATTTTGGGAATAATTTTGGATAGATTGGCAATAAAACGACCTGGAAATTATGGCAAATGGTTGCGTGTGTCACTTTTCATTTGTTATATTTTAGCAGGGATATTTTTCGCACTTCTATATTTTATCCCTCAAGAGCCAAAAACACTTAAAGGAAATAAACTAGATGTATTTTTTTCCTGTAATGATAATGGTGGCTATATCTCTGAAAAAAGATTAAACGATGAATGTGATGTACATGCTGGACATTCTGGAAACATAAAATTGCTCGATTGCGACTATACTTGTAAACCACCTAACAGTGTTTCCATGGCATATCTTCCTGATCACCTTAAAAAAACTTCACCATTTGAAAAAATTCAACTTGGACCTGAAGTTTTATCAGAGGGTCCTTCACAAGAAGAAGATTATGATGAAAATGCAAGCTACAACGAAGAAAATCTACCACTATCTGGAGCATTAACTGCAGCACCTACAGATGCACCGATCATACCACCGCCACATATTTGCATCAAAAATGCATCGAACATCAATTGTCATGTCTATCTAAGAAATATTACAAAATTTATAAATTTAGATGTTGAAACTATTGAGGACACCGGCATTGTAAATGAATTCAGTCAAACGAGATGCAAACATTCTTTAGGTATGCAAATATGTCTTTCAAATTCTTTTCAAAATGACTTCTCTGTAGTTTATTAAATTTAAAACCATCATTGGTCTCATTTTTGGATTTAAGAGTTTGCTCTGACTATAAAATTTAAATAATTATTTCAAGAGATCTTTAATATTCATTTCATATTTTTAGCAAGCATAAGTTGCAATATTCCTGAACGTCAAATTACATGGATGCGCTTGCAGCGGAAGATATACAACGAAACACACGAATGTATTCCTGCGATAGACTGCAATATCGGCGAGAGCTTCGGGGGAAAAAATTTACTCAACATATTTTATGAAGTTCCATATACTTCTTATACCACCCTTCGGATCATCGCCGAAATTTTTCCCATATTAATCCATATGATTCTCAATATCATGATTATAGTCGCTACTCGTGAGACTTCAACAGGAAGGGGGAATGTCGGTCATCAATTAGCGTTTTATCCAATGGGAGTTCTCGTTTTCGGATCTATATTAGGAATTACCAATCATCTTCATGCATTAGAGCCGTTTTTTATACCTATAATAACGTTTTGTTGCACAATGTTTGTCAGCGCATTCGTTGTTTTATTCTCAGGGTAAGAATACAATAGTAAAACTAATAATTAAATCTGTTAATTATCTTCAATTTTTTTCTTGCAGAAGCCTTCCTTTGACTCCTTCTGATTGGTGGTGGCATACAAAATGTGGTATGCTTGCCATTCCAATGTCAGCTTTAAAAAGATTCAAATGGGTCATAGTAGCGATCACTATAATTGCTTTTATACTTGGAGGACTGTGGCATGTGCAAGAAGCTTATCGACACATTAATATTATCGATATCATCGAATATGCAATAATTGATAACTTGAAATGGAGATCGAAAACTTTTGTTTACGTAATTGGCGCCTTATTAGCAATACCTTTGATATGGAACGGAGAAAAAATTGTGGATTGTATTGGACATTCTAATATATTCATCCTCTCGTTAGTTTCATTTGCCTTCAGGTTCACAGGAATTTACTTGTATATTGGAAATCCTTACACGACCTTCCTTGAAATTTTAGAACCTTTGTCATTCTATCTCACTTGGCTCGCACTTCTTCTTTTTATTCGTCATCTAATACCAAAAAATATATTGGCATTGGGTCAGGGGCTTCTCGTTGTTCTGTATTTCGCTTTAGGACGTGCATTTGGATTTTACTTTGCTGTTTCAGACTTTAAATACACTAACTATAAAGATTTATCAGATTCGGCAAAAGAATTGACCCAAGCTGATTTAATTCAATCCAAAGAGACAAATCATGAGAATATTTATTCAGTAGCAGCTGCCATTGCTTGTGCTACTGCTGTTGTTTATTTCATTATTTACCATCTCATTCTTTTACCAAAATATCGTGTTCCAATAAATCGTCTTGTATCAAATGATCAGAATAACATGTCACCGCAACATGTTTTTCATGATGAAAGAAGCCGAAAAGGCTACTTCCGCTACTAAAAACGTGTAAAGATTTCCAAATAATATTTTAATTTCAAAGCTCTCTGCTTAATAAAATTTTTATGCTTCGAATAAATATATAAAATTGCTAAGTTCAAAAACTGCCTTTATGGAATAAAAATGTGGCAAAAGTCTTTTTATGCGCAAAACTCTTTAATCCTTAGATACATAGATATCTAGATTCTAATCACTTAGCGTGACTACTTCTAAATATCTACCTTTTGTTGATTTGTTTTTAGAAATATTTGTTACTTCACTACATTTCTTTAAAAGAAGTGCCTTAAATATTAATTGCAAATTCAGTTATTTTCTATAATTTTGAACTACATTTTATCTAGATATTTCTTTTTTAACTTTATCATTGGAAGCTTATACAGTGATTTTAAACGAAAAATGTCATGAATATTATTATTTCGATAAGTTTGAAAAAACATTATGTTTTTCAAGCCTTTTCATCTTTATTCAACGTAATCTCATTTAACTCTCATTTTTTCAATAGACATTTAATGGATATTTTTAATATTTGTAAAACTTAATAAAAAAATGAATGAATAAAATTTACTTATTCATATCTAGATATGAATTGACTTTTTTTGTGTACATTACTATTAAATGATCACAATGAGTGAGAGGAGAAATATACAACAAAAAAATTGATGCCATAAAAGGAATTTTTGTTTCTGTTTTTTTGAAGAGAGAAACCCGATTAGCACAGACGTTCCAGTAACCGATTTAGGTTTGCTTTATGAGGATATTTCTTCTCAATTGCAGATTCACTGAGCCTTTAAATGAGTTTAATATCGCACAATAAATAATTTTGTTTCATCAAAAAAATTCTCTTCTGAAACCACAATTTAAATTTCTCAAGATGCCAAAAAGTGCATAAGTTTAAGTTATTTTAGACGTTCAAATACCCTAAAAGATAGGATATTATTTTATATCTACATACATAGAATTTTATAAAACTTTGTATTAAATAAACTAGGTATTAAATTGATGGCTCCAACATTATGCGATCAAATTTTAGCCATATCATTTTTATATGGAGTCGCATTCAAAAATTAATGACAAACAAATTTTTAAAAAGTGATCAATCTTTAGCATCGTTCTAAATATCGAATTAAATATCTAAAGTACAACTTTTAATATGGCCACTTTAAAGTGTTCACGTTTGATAACGTGTAACGAATACATTGCATATTTTTCTGTAGAGATAAATCAATTCTTGATAAATTAATTGAAGAAGGCTTTATACTTTCTTTTTGATTTTTTACTCTTAACTTATTCAATCCATAAATTTTTAAAGAATATCTATTATCTAATTTATGTATTCGTATTGCAACGTTTTTCGAATAAGCATTATTCAAGTTTTCTATTTCGAAACAATTCTGTGTCGAATATCTACCTACATATCAAGTAACTTCGTACGTATTTATAAGAATAAGAATGTGTGCGTATAGAGTCGATTGTATTACTGTATATTTTTAGTTATCCCAACCTGGGTATATGTGTTTTCTCATACATTCGTCATATATCTCCTCTACATCAAAAAATATTCGATCAAAAAAAGAAAAAAAGTTAGTCCCGTGTGCCGGATTAAAGAAAAGCGGTGAAAAAATCTTTCACAAGATTTCAATAAAATTTAAATAAATAAACTCTTGAATCCTGAATCTCTAAAACAAATAATTTTTTTCTAATGGTATGTAAATTCATTTTAGTACTTAATAATATATTCTCAAAAAGAAATCTTAAAAAATGAACAATTTCTTTGATATGAAATATATAATAAATGAATATTGCTCCAAATGTGTAACTACTAAATGTATATGATGAAAGTACTAATTAAAACTAGTGGAAAAAAGAATTTCTTTCATAAAAAGAACTCATTGCCTTATATGGTTAAAACTTAAAAAATCAACCAGTATTTCTATGTGTTCTACTTCCGTATTAAAAGTGTGTTAGTGAATTTTATGAATTTTCAAATTTGGTAGTTTTCTCGAAAGCTAAGATTATAATTTTTTACCAACCAATTATTGAAGTAAAAATTTAATATTTTATATAGATGTTTAATTAATAGAACTAGAAAATATCTATGATATAAAATGTAAAACACTGATGAATATTTCGAACACTACTATTATGAAAAATGCTACAATTTGTAATGAAAAATCTTTTCGAACCTTGTGTATCAGCCAAGAGTTTGGAAATTAATCTGACTTTTAAATGGGTTATTGAAAAGTTAAAGCAAACTACCTAGATGAGACTATATCTAATTAGGAAGTTTTAAATATTATTTAAAATTTGAAACATTGCTAAAATGTATTTAGAAGCATAATAAAATCATAAAAAATGGGAATCACCCTCAATCACAACATTTCCATTAGATACATAAATGAAATATTTCAATTTCATAATTTTTTTAAAGAATTCCACTTTGATATCTAAACATTGATCAATCTACTAAAGTGCATATTTGTTTCATATTTTTCTAATGTATCTACTTTAGAGTGATAAAATTCTTATAATATGATTTGTACTCAAAATATGATCGAAATAGTAATTTATCCTTAATACATTTTCGGAAATAAAGCTTTCTAATTTTGACTTAGGATCAATAAAACAAACGTCGAAACTTTAACTAAAAGTCAGTAATTATCCTGTTTCATAACATTATTAATAATTGTTAATAGTGTTCAAAAAGATTTTGAAACAAGCAACAGCTAAGAGTTCCTATAATTTCCACGTAAAATTTTCTACAATTTCTTTAAAAACTAAAGTTTATTTTTATAATCTTAAAGATTCGAAAATACCTATTATCACATGAAATTCGTCTCACTTTCTATGTTGAATATTTATAACACTCTTTCGTAGGCTTCCGGAGTAACTGTCTCAGATATTTGTAAAACCACTTATGAAGAAATCAAAAAGGATAAAAAGCATCGTTATGTAATCTTTTATATTCGAGATGAAAAACAAATTGATGTCGAAGTAATAGGCGATCGAAATGCAGAATATGACCAATTTTTGGAAGATATCCAAAAAGGAGGATCTGGAGAATGCCGCTATGGTCTTTTTGATTTCGAGTACATGCATCAATGTCAAGGGACATCAGAAAGCTCCAAGAAGCAAAAACTATTTTTGATGTCATGGTGCCCAGATACTGCCAAGGTATGATTATTATTTTTCTAATACTTTCCTGTAATTTATTACAGTTTATCCTGTAATTTATCCTGTACATAATTAATCTATGTTAATTTGTTTTAGGTCAAAAAGAAGATGTTATACTCGAGTTCTTTTGATGCGCTGAAGAAATCATTAGTAGGTGTACAAAAATATATTCAAGCGACAGATCTTTCAGAAGCATCACGCGAAGCAGTTGAAGAAAAATTACGCGCCACTGATCGCCAATAAACATTACAGCTCAAACGAATATGGAACAATTTCCACCATATCAGCTCAAATTAAACTTCGTTTTTAAAATCTTTTATCTCTTTTTACTTCAAAATAATTAAATTCGATTTTTAAAATTCACAACAAAATCATAAAATTTGTCCTCACATGAGTTTTTTTGAAACTTTATTTAGGTAAACTGAAATGAAAGATAATTGATTAAAGAAAAGCATTTTAATGGATTTTGATATCTAAAATATTTTTTATATTTTTATCGAAATATGTACATCCTTTTTTCAGTTTACAGTGGAAAATTTATCAGTGGAAAAATATCACAAAATGATGAATGGAACTAAAATATCTACAACGAATAATATTATGTAAGTATTTTGTAAACATAACGCATAAAATTATCAAGTTAATTTGATTTAGATACATTATTAAGAATCCTTAAGTTAGGTTCTCCACTTTTTTTTTTGAATATATTTAGGTATGTAGTACATTTGTGTGTTTAAACAAATTTAGACACCCGTATCAACTTGCTGAAAATTCGCATATATCGTATAACTATTACGTGTTGTTTTAAATAACTTTTAACAATTAGGTAATACGGGTTTCAGCTTAAGCTGAGGCAATCGATTTGATATACTGTTTAAATGTGTAATTAGGTTTACACTCTCTACCTGAAACTCGGTTCCCCAAAGTTAGTTTCAGGTGGAGAGTGTAATTAGTTAACGCACGGAGAAATTTACTTGCATACCCTCCATGTTTCCCGAGATCTCGGACACTTTTTTACCTGCATAGTCCGGGATATTGTACATGCAATGCATTGTTGATATCATACCCCTACCTAGAAAAAGCGCGTCGGGAAGATTATTTTGTTTTTCTACTATTAACAACACAAAAATCAAGTCAAAATGGCATCGTTTAAAAACCACGGGAATTCCATAAATTTCAAATGTTTTCAGCTTTTAAACAATGAGTCCTTTGTGGACGTTTCTATTGTCGCATCAGGAAGATATCTTCAGGCGCATAAGTTAGTGCTGGCTGCAGCAAGCAGCTATTTTGAGGTATACATTTAAAAGAATTAAACGGATTCATTAATAGTATAGTTTTTTTTAGGAAATTTTCAAAATTATACCGAATTCATGCACACATCCAGTAATAGTTCTCAATATTCCGTATATTCATCTTCAATACTTAATGCAATATATTTATTGTGGGTATATAGATATTGAATCCAGCGAAGTAAATGAATTTCAAAAGCTTTTAAATTCAATGAATGTCGAATATATACGGGAAGACATTGCAAAAGAAGATAATCAGATATTAATTACTTCCTTTACTGAGGATTCTATAGATGAAAATGATATAACGAGTATGACTCTCTCGGAAAGGCAAGAAAACGAGGAACGAGAAGCATACGATTTCCCAGAAGATCTACAAGCCGAAGATGAGAGTCCTCAACCTATTCATAATCTACAGCTATATAATAACAGAACTTCAACATCTTCTATAAAATCCAACCCACCTAAGGAAAAATCTGGTTTTTCAATAAACATGGAAGGAAAACATTCAGTTAAACGTGTGGTTCCTTCTCAAAAATTTCAAAATTTTATGTTTAAAAATCCCACAATCTGCCCATTTTGTAATAAATTTTTCAACACAACAAAGCACAGGAACGAACATGTGAAATACTGTTTTGATAATCCAAATCGCGTAGTATCACAATGCAAGATTTGTTCTAAAAGTGTTTGTGATCCTTATTACCTTAGAAAACACATGAAGAACGTTCATGGGAAGAATGCAGACCCGTATGTTCGCTTGGAGAATCGTCAACATAAGCTTTGATCATTTCCTATTAATGTACATACATCATATAAGAAAATGCTCTCTAAAATAATAAATAAATGAAATAGTGTTATGAAGAAATGTAATGAAAAAAGATGTTTCATAAACTTTTGAAATTCAATATAATCTGAATATTTAAGGGAACAGATTGAACAAAATGCGAATCTATGGAATATGAATCGAAAATGAAATTAAGACGAAAAAATGAACAGCAATAACATGTTGAAAATTTCAAAGGTGGTGATTTTATTTATTTATATATAATTTTTAATAAGACTTTGTTTTTAATTCATCTATATAAAAAAGCATATTTCTGATTCATTCGTATATAAACATATGTAAGTGTAAAATCTTTGAAAAGAAAAAAGTCAATCGTCTTTAAATAAAAATTTCAAAAAAATATTCGAAATTTCTCTTCCTTCTCATTTACATACATGTTATGAAAATTCCTTATCAATTGGAGCCTTGATTGGAGCTAACCATTAAAATGAAAATTCTTATAAATTACAAAATTTTATCGTTTGCAAATTAGGAAATCCTACAATCTAACAAACTCATTCATTCTTAATATTAGCTCCAGAAATTATACTCCTCAATAGATGGCGCTAGCTCATTAATTTCAAAACAATTTCATTAAATAAAAAATAAAAAGATATACAGGTGTATATTTTAGGATATTTAGATTTGCTTGATTTTTTTTAGTCAATTTTATATACTCTAAATGATCTTTCTTTCTTTTAACTAGATGTCTCAACCAAGGTTCAAAACATCTAGTTTTTTAAAATGTTTTTACCGCAACTGAGAGATTTCGCTTTCATTTCTTTTTTCACTTTTCTTTTGAGAAATTTTTATCAAAAAACCTATGAAGNAGACAAGATAAAATTCTAAATAAAATATGTATATGATATCTGTAACAATACTTTGTAATGAAATGTTTCTGAAATTTTAAGTTGAAACTTTCACAGAACTTTATATATTTTTAAATTATTCTTGCAATTTTGTAGATAATAATATAAAATTGGATTTGAAGAGAAAGATTTTTCAGCAAAATAGATTTTTAATTTTATCATAGATATTCAAAACTATTAATGTTCATTTCACAAAGTTAAAAATATTTTAGTATTTATCTTGTTTTGAACATTTATTCAGCTGACTGCAACAACAATGAATTATGCCAAAGCATTGCCGCGCGCAGCGCATCAGTTTCAACCTTGCCGGTGTCACGAGTAGACGTAGTTAAAATATATCAACAAACTTAATTCTGTTATAGAAGCTGCAGTGAAATAAATATCACTTTTTAACTTATTCTACACCACAAAATTCTAGAAATAAATAATAAGATTGAAAATTTAATGAATATCTTAAAAACTTAAAGGAAATTATAATGAGTCATCATTCATTATTGTGAGAAAAGGAATGGAACTCTAATAAAAAATTCATTGTGCAGTTTTGGAGAAAAATCTTGACTTTTATAAAAAACATTTAACTTAAGGTGTTACCCCAAAATACATTAAATCGTGAAAAGAAATAAATTTATAAATGATTACACCAGAACATCAAAGAAGTTATGAAAACCATCAACTTATCCTCGACCATTTGGATAACCATCAAGTTCAAAAAACTCAAAATGCGGAAGTTAACTCATCTCATTTTTACAAGAAATCTAATATTTCATCCACATCGTCTCCTGAGTTACGATGTATACACCCCACTCACGATTTCCGGGCTATCTATGATAGCAATCAGACTTATGAAGATAACTTCAGAGTTTCTTCTAGTGAAGTAATTATTGATGAGATGGGCCCTCCACCAACGCCTATAAAAACTATCAAAATAGTTTCCAACGAAGAACCAACTAGTTCTATTCCTGATTTGGGTAAGTTTCATGGTTTTTTATAAACATATAAAGATTTTTGAAAATGCCCAGACAAAATCAATAACATTTTTCATATTACGGATAATTTTTCAACTCTCTTTCGTTTCCCTACCCTAATTTTCACTGCTCAGCACTGCAGTAAAATTACTAACATAACAGAGCCAAGCGTCTAAAGGAAAAGCATAGAGAAAAATTGCGAGTTGTAGGTCATTAACATTGCAAGTGGAAGTGGAATTTAAAACATGTTTGTGTGAGTTAATGTTGATGCTATGTAGATATTTACTTTCTATGTATAGTCTTCGTTTTCATTTCTCCTCCTTTCACAAAGTTTTCATAATTTTCTCCAATTGTAACCTTAAGCATTCGTTTTGAACTATTTCTTTCTAATAAAAAAAAAAACTCCCCAATGGAAAATAAAATGACGCGTCCAATTTCTAAAATAATATCCTGAAAATTAAATAACTTACTTTGGCTTTTATTCACAATAATCAATATTTTTATTTAAGAAATTATATTTGATTATTTATTTAGATAATTTATATTTAATTCATATAAACAGATTGTCTTTAAAAAGTCTTTTGTGACTGTTTATTCATAATATGTTCATAAATTCAAGAAAACCTTATATTTCAATTAAGATGACATAGGAAACCTATTCAGATATTTCTTTCAATGTTCAATGGTAAAAAGTACTGATTGCACTATTGAAAATGATTAGGTATTTTCGCACCTAAACTCTTCGTTTAGATTTAATGAAAATATTTAGTCGGGTTCTTTTAATCCTAATCAGTTGGTTAACATTTAAGTGAACAGTATATGTGAATTCATACACTGAAGTTGTCGACAATGAACCAAAATTAAGTTAAATTAGTTTATTATTAATTATGTAAAACTTAACTGTAATAAAAAGATAAAGTTAAATGTGGACAAATGTTTTATAAGGTTCTATTCCTTTACGATTTTTTCTGATTCTAATTTCTATGTGTTTGTCGGTCATTGTCCCACCACCGAAGGTATACTTAAACATAGAAAATAAAAAGATATTGCGAGAATGAATTTACTTATCTACTTGAATAAAATGTTGAGTATTAAAATCAGGAAAATTATCTCGATTTATTTCATTCCAAAATAATAAAGAAACATTTTCATTTCTTCTGGATTCGCCATAAATATACCTACAGTGAAATTTTAGTCGGCAAGAAAGGTGAAATAATGATGATTTATATTACATCGGACGCTATATAAATGCAAACTCTGAAAAGCTGTATGAGTGAAACTATCTTTGAAAGAATTTGCTTGAGATGTATGTTCCATAAATGAAAAAACTTTATAATTGTGGCTCCCTTCGGTTTGCATATACGAAGCGTACACTGTATTACAAACAAAAGTTTAATAAATGATTGAAATAAACTAAATTTTTGCAGTAGCATAGAGAGATTTCACAACAATAATTAGTTTTTTGGTTATACGTTAAAAGTTGATATAAGGATGAACAATTTATGACAGTCCAAATATCAAATGATGGACTGACATCACCATTTCAAAGTGTTTGGAGGTAGGATAATCCTAAAAGTTTACAAAAAACACAAGATTCATAAAATAAAGGTTTCTATGTAATTTCTCAGTAAAAAAAACTGTAGGTTAATAGAAGTAAATAAAAAAAAATATTTTGAATTAGTAACTCATGGGACTAGTTAAAAGAACAACATAAATTAATTTTACTTTAGTTTATCCGAATTTTTGCTAAGAAGGCAAATTTGAACTTGACATTAAAGAAATAAATATATTTATGTACATATATACTTCTGGTTGTATGATGTGTTTGCAATATATTGTTATCATTCAACTTACCCTTCTTGAGGCTAACATTTCATTTTCTTGTTTCTTCTTCTCTCTTTAAAAATAACATGCTGCTCAAGATTTATGCAATCCGTGTAAATGACCTCAAAATGGCCTCAAAATAATAATAATAATAATAATAATAATCATTTCTTTTTGAAAATTAAAAACTATCTTTATACAACTTTTAATTAAAACAATATTAAATATGATTTGAAACGATAAATAAAAAGTGCTATCTTTTTTTTCACGATTAAGTGAACAGAAATGTATGGAAAACCGAGTAGACAAATACATATAAATTTTATATTGACACGTGTACTACTTTGCTCAAGCTTTGCTATTCATTTGGCATACCATTATAACTTCCAAGGGGTAGAACAACAAAAAAAAATTGGTAGTAAAAACTATTGGTCTGAAAAGTACTAGAAACACTTAAAGTACCATAAGTGAAGAAATACGGATATCCAATTAATATTTTCAAAAACAATAAAAATAATAAACCTTCAAAAAATAGACATTGGGGATGGAGTATATATAGAGAAACAACTTTCCCATAGATTCTACAAACTAGACGTCCATTGCCTCCAGATTCCCTCTAAACAATCAGGTAAAGGGGTCTTTCAAGTTCCTGTCTAAGAACTGATGATAATGAAATTTATGTTTGTTCCTTTGGAATTCTGAAAAAATTTAAAATTCATTCCCACATGAATTTGAAATTTTTATATATTCATATTTTTTCATAGTGATGAAGCTTCATAGTGGTTTTAGTGCTTTTCGGGCAAATAGTGCTTTTTACAGCTAATTTTTTTGCTGATTTACCCCTTGAACAGAGTGTAAACGAACGATATTACCTATATGGAAACAGAGAAAAATGAGAATAAGAAAAGCAATAGAAAATAGGGAGAGAGCAAAATCTGTATCGCCGGGCTAAAGACATGATAGATACTCTGTGAACGAAGAAAAAATATTTTTCAACTTTGACTGTTGATAACTTTTTATTCCCGTTACCAAGGAGAGCCAGTGTGACATCAGAAGATTCTCAGTCTAATTGAGATTATGAATCAGTATTTGGAAATGAATTAACTTCATCAGTGTGTTCAGAATCATTCAAAATAAAACATTAAACATTTTTGTTGTTCACAGAGAAAACAAATTATTCACAGCCGTAACATGAGAGCGAAAATGCAACTCAAAATTAATTGTATTTCTGTAACAAAAATCAAAATCTGTAAAAACAGAATTATTTAAAAGAGTTGAAGTTTATCTTTGCTTCGTTGCTTTTCTCAGATTTGAAAAACATGAAAGAAAAGTGATGAAAAACCAAAAGAAAAAGTTGCTGAAAGTGAAAAAAAAGAGTTAAAATGACGAAAAAATTAAATGATATCTTTTTTTATTTGAAGCGATCCCCAACACGTTATACAGTATTTAAAAGCTTCACAATCCCTGAATATTTTTTAGGAGACCTTCAGCGCAATTGATAGCGAAGCTTCTTCATAAAGCTAATGTGAAGAAAAGATGTGAGAAATCATTCGCGGCGAAAACCATTCACAGTGTATAATAACTCTAAATGTAAGTTAGGATTGTAAGATTCTTTGAAAAAAGAAGGGAAAGAGGTTGAATGACCTGCATTCTATTTAGTGTACATGTGCCATGTACAGAAAATACTTTCAACCTAAGAGATATTTTTAACCTTCGCCTATGTAGGTCATTCTTGTGTTAGTTATTTATTTCAAAGTGTATGTGCAGAATGTGATCTGTATAGTTTATCATGTAAATTTTTATAAAAGAAGTTCCAAATTATCTTTCAATCTTTTTATTTTGATAAACATGTAAACAATATTTTTTCATCAATTTCCAAAAACTTTAGGAAGTTTTTAACATTTTTCAACAATTTCTCATTTTTTGATTATCTAAATATAAAAATTTTCACAAATTTTCAAAAGTTCTTACTAACGCAATGTTGTCGCTACCTTGAAGTTCCGAATGCTACAAATTTTTGCACTTGTAGAAGAAGCGCTTATTGAATTGCCAACTCTGCTTATATTGTCGACAATGTCCTGAGATCTCAAAATTTCAAGATTTTAAGTTATCCTAAGAATTTTTATCTACCAATTTTGATAAAGATTATATTTATGAACATAAAATCAGTTTATTAATTATTCATTTTAAACCTTTCTAAAAATATATAGAAACATAATACAAGAACAAAATATAAAAACAAAGAAAAGATACTCATAGTTCATGTTTAGCATATATGATCTACTATAATTTCGAAATAATTGTGTTTGATTTGAATTAAAATCTTGTAATCTTTCAAACAGAATCATCCCAGAATAATCTCAGTCTTTGGCAAAATTCTTCAATATCTAATAATTATAAATTATTATTTTGAATACATATCATACTAATCAGATATCAAAAAATTCATCGAATTAAAAGAAAACAAGATTTCTACTTTCCAATTTAGTTTTTCTTCGTCAACACTGATCATGATTAAAAAAGATTTCATAAACTATAAGAACCACATCAAATGCCAAGAGATTTTTACTTTTCTAAAGAGTTTTCTTTTTCGAATCTACATAGAGTAGATGAATCGAGAAGTAATATACATACATTTGGTGCTCCCAACTTCAACCTCATATCCATTTTCATGGCTCTTTGCGAAAAGCATGAAAATGTTTTTAAATGATTTTTAAACACTTATACATTTTACTTTCAATGCTACTTTGATAAATATTTTCTCTTCTTTTATCTGCAAATAAATGATTAGCACGAACAGTATTCGACTGAAGAACTTCAAAATATATTTTGGCTAAAAGCAATTAGATTCCGCTTTTCACAATGGCGATCGAAATTACATTTTTAAAATATATTATTTTCTAAGTACGCTAATCGACATATGAGTGGTTAATTTCCACAGAGAAATTAAGAAAATAAATAAAATACATATATTACTGAATTATGATATTATTTTTAAATATGATATTTGGTACCTACATTTCTTACTCTGAGTCCAAGTTGTGTTTGACAAAAAATGTTTGCTTCAATATGTTAGGAAACAAATCCTATATCATGTGTCATAACTTATTAGATCACTAATTTTTCTATAATTTTGAATAAAAATCTCTATATTTTAATTTTTATTTATTTTCATTTAAATAACTTTAATCATGTTACATTTCTACGCCCTCAACAAGATAGTTCTATTTAAATGACAAACGAAGTCAACGGGAATTTTCACAATGGTTTTATCTGAAAGTTCATTTATATGTGCGTAAGTGTTTATGTATACCTATTGTTTCACTTTATCCATTCGTTTGTGTGTGTATGTGTAGTAAAGAACACTTGAGGCGATACGACGGGAGAAAAACAAGAAAGTGTCAATGAACGACTAACCTTGAATATTTTTCAACTCGCTCTTTGCTGTTTCTAAAGCTTTCTGTTCCGTATCAAAAATAAAATTAAACGCGAAATTGTGGGAGAGCAACGGGAGAGAGGAAAAAATATGAGCGTCATTTTATCTTCTTCTTCTTGTTTGGATGGCTCAGAAAATATTCCACAGTACAAAAATACAAACCAGGAATTATTCTATAACAACAGTGTTAGTTTGTTGTGCAAATTTTTCATTAAAATAGAATTGTGTTAGTGAAATTTTTTATGTTATTTTACTATAATGTGCGATTTTTCGGTATATTTTCGCTATTATGGGTCAATGCCGGTCATTCTCATGAACTTCTGAATGAGAATCCTACAGTGAATTCCATCTACGAAAGAATCGATCAATAAAAAATAGAATATATATTTCTAATTCTATAATGATAATTATTGGTATTCTCAGTAAAAAAGATTCTTATTTTAGAACTGTACTATAGTTAATTATTTATGAAGACTCTACTATAAAACATACGTATATTTTGCTAATTTGATTAAGGATAAATGTTTCATAACTAGGAAGGTAGTCACTTTCTTTCATTATTGCTGAAATCTCAATTTTTTACTCTCTCGAAAGTAAATTTTTAAAACCAATTATATTTATATTTAATATATTTTGATTGAATTTTATTTAAGTTTATGTATATATACATATATATGCGTAATAATTATCAATGATTTCAGTTAAGAGTTCCTTTGGCGAATAATCTAAAGGCAGTGTATTAGGCAGAGTATGAAGAGTGCGATGGACTTATTCAAGGTCGAAAATTTTGAGGAGCAAATAAGAAAAGCTCTTGATAAAATAAATACGTTTATTTATCAATACGAAAGTTTTGAATTTTAAAAATATCAATTTCAGTAAACTTCTTAAATAAAAATTTCTTTTATATTGAAGCAAATTGGAAATTTTTAAAGGATAAACATAAATATTTGTTAAAAAATCGTGAAGCTTACCTCTCAGTTTGTTTCGATTTCCGTGCATTCTTCTCTCTTACCACACTCATAGCTTTTTCGCTCAGATATTTTTTCTCATTTTGAAATTATTTTAGTATAAATCTAGACTGAGTATAGTGCGGACGTGTACGGTTAAACAATTTGTCGCAGAGCGCGCTTTTTTCATTGATATTATTGTGTGGAAAGACGGGAGAGACAAGGGAAATTTGTGAAAGTTCAAATGAAAGTTGAAATAATCACTAAGAAATGAAATATTATAAAAGATAAAGGAAACTAATAAAAAAAATAATATTGGAACGAATAATAATAATAATATATAAAGAGAAGTGGGTGTGAGTCAGATAAAAGAATTGATGTACACGCGTGTTTGTGCTCCTCGTGACAGTGAAGGTCCCGATGACCTTGTCCTTGCATCGTCTGCGGGGATGAAAAACTTATGTCACAGGAAATTAAATTTTGAGAATTATTATTAAAGCTGAGAAAGCAATTAAAATGAATTTATAGTACACAAAACTTTTATTTCATTATAAAGAACATAAATATAAAATGCTAATGTTTCCTGATTCTTCTTCGGCGGATCAAGAACCGCTTCCAATGTCGCGTTCTTCAATACTATCAATGATACAAGTTCCAGAATGCACACAATCTCATGGTGATTCTACTACATCTGTCATGAAGAAAGTTCATTGTCTACAAATGAGTGATTGTGAAATAGTTAATCCATCAAAAAATGAATACATGTCATCAATTAAAAGTCAACAAATTATGCAACAAAAACCGAATCTTTCTTCTAAAAGTGAAGAAGATCTGAACTTAGGTATAATTATCCTTATAAACTTCTGATCTGTATTTATATAATTTAATAGATCAAATAATTTATAAAATTAGAAACAATATGTACATTCAAGTTTTATCAAATAACATTTGAGGCGAGAATGGATGATGGAATATGAGTATATATATATTTCTCCTTGTCAGGGCGGACGTTGACCTTGAATTCAAAAATGTATTCTTGCGAATGTGTTAGTACTTATAAACGTTCTCTCCCGTTTTACATACCATTCGTTCTTTTTCCAGAAATAATATACTGAGAGTAAAAAAGCTACACATGTGTGTAGCTTTTTCAAGAGAGAATATGTATAGAATAAGAACTGCCAAGTCAATGTCAAAAAATTTATATCCTTATCGTTTAGAAGTAATAATCAAAAGTACTATTCTGGTTAAATAGTTAGACAATTATATTTGAATACCATTGATAATTATTCAAATCCAATGATAGAAATATACCTAATCAAACTGATTTGATTAAAAATCTTCTGATATTTAAAAAATTATAAAATTTTAAATAAATGGCAAAAACAGAAAACATGCTTGATAGACAAAAAAACAAATTATTTTATTAGATATTTTAAGAAACGATTAGCCTAATCTTTTCCAATTTTCAGTATTTCATAAATTCGAAATTTTTCCAAGTTCATTGAACTTGGCTTATATTTTCTATCTCTTTCTTTGAAGCCATCGTTTCCTTTCTCTTTCCATTTCACTTTATTCAATTCATTCAATGTTTCTTGCTTTCATCACTTTCTTTTGATTTCTTTTTTGTATCGAGAGTGAAAAGAAATTTTTGGTGAAAGTTATTTTTCATTTTTTACGTTTGTTTCGCTGTTTATTCATTAAGTTATTGGTATATTTCCGAAGATTATTTAAAGCAATGAATACCAACTTCATAAAAGTATTAAATTGTAAAGATTTTAGGGAATGATTTTGAAATATCTAAATATTTTAGATCTATAAAAAACAGTTTATTTATATTAAATCACACTAAAAATTTAATATGAATTTATTTGCAGAATTTGACGGTACAAATGTGTTGTGTCGTGTTTGCGGTGACAAAGCATCCGGCTTTCATTATGGCGTTCATTCTTGCGAAGGCTGCAAGGTGAGTAAACTTTCCTTAACTATAAGTTAAGTTTTTCTCTAGCAAAAATAGCTTTATTGATTCAGATAAATGCAATTATAAAGTAAAAACCCAAATGTTTGTTGGTTCTCTAAGCAAGTTCTTTTCCCGCTTACATTTTTTTTCTGCTATTGAGACATTGACCTCAAAAAAAAGAATTACTCACACATTCAAATTAAAAAAAACACTCGATGTTCAAAACAACACACTATGTTATGCTTTCATTTCTGGAATGAAAACTTAAAAGAGAAAGAAGGAAAACGTAAAACGAATCGAAAGATATAAAGGTTATTGTCCTCTTTGAAACCACATTTATTCCATGCAATATGAAACAAAGAATTTGATTTTTCCTTACAAGCTATATTTTTGCATACTTTAAAAAACCTAAAACGAAGTAAAAGTAAGTACATGTAATTTAAATTTCTGTCATAAGCTTCTCAGTAATAATATTAAAGAAATCGTTTAGTTTTTGACTAGAACTGTTACTGAACGTCATTTAAGGATTTTATTTCTTTTTGGTTTTAGTAACTCTCTCATATCATGATGAATTTTTAAATAGAGTGTTTTTTTGAACAGGAAAGATTATCTTAAATACTTAGGCAATCTAGTCATATGTATTCGTCTTCCATTCGTTTTTAATAAAAATTCCGTGAGATGTCGCTTAACTCATTTCAGAGATACTAAGCAAAGACACATTCATTTCTCAATGTTTTTTCAATTTTTTCAAAAAATGAGGAAAAATTCAATGCTCTTCTCGAATTCCAACATACCCTTTGAATGTTTGTGCAATGAAGGGGGTTACAACAAAAAATGTTTTTGTTTTTGAAATCTCTAAGATTATTTTACTTTTAGCGCACAAGCTTCAAATTGAAAGTTCAGTGACCTTATTGAACTTTTCACAAAGCGCATCAAACATCAAATGTTTTTAAGAAAATTTTAATAATTATTTCCTTATTTCATTGCTCTTTAAAAGTTAAATCGTTGTTGCTTTAAATTCAAGCTATAACATTAAGTCAATAACCCTTTATAAAATGATATAGAGGTCCAATTTTTCCAACACAACCACTCATAATCTGCACAGCACTTGAACCATATTATGTACAATTGCATTGGTTAAATCTAATGAAATAATGTTTAGATTTTCTTTTAGTCATTTACCTTAAAGATCGTTGACTTTTACACTCCTTTATATGTTATTAATCAATTACCTTTTGTTCAATGTGAATGTAACAGAGTTCATCAACTTTTGTTATGAAAATTTAATTTGACTTATGTGTTTTCTAGTTGAATACTTTCTCTAGTTGACCATCTGATTTCCAAAAACTATTTTATTTTATTAAAATTAAAAAAAAAAAGATTAAATAAATTATTCAAATTTGAGTATCAGAGTTAAAACGTTTTATGCGAAAATATTTCCAACAAGACTTCTTAGCATAATAATAATAATAATAATAATAATAATAATGTTACGGAAATTAAAGTCATCATCATCAGGTCTTTGACAGGGACTAAAAAGACCCTGTTTTACGTATAAAATACTGACAACAAATGACAATGACAACACTTTCCGATCTCAAAGAAAATCGGGTTATGCTAGCTAGTCACTGTCGTCCGTTTTGCATACTCCTGGTATCTATCGTGAAAATGATATCAGGTCGATGTACAAACATTAAAACTTTGAATGTCAAAAAAAATTAAGAAGATAAACTGAGGCGAAGGAAATCATCATAAAAATATTGTCTATGATTTGCAAATACTTTTTCATGTAACATCTTAGTATGAGGGAATAGATATTCTTATTTTCTGAGTGGTCTACGTTCATTCAGTATACGAAGTGGTAAATTAATTCATGCAAACATTACGTCATGTGTATTTCCTGAATTTAAAAAAAATGAGAAACGTAGAAGCGATTGAATGAATAAGACTCGTTAAAATGTTTCTTAGTAGGTGACACAAAAAAAGTTTATCGCCCAATTTCTTTAGTCTAACAGTGTATATAAAATCAGAGTCAGAGTTGGGCGATCCGATCTACGATCCAATCTTCCAAGTTTTATCGTCCAACTCTCATCACAGTATGAAATATATTTATTTCCCTTTTTCCTTTATGAATCAAAAGGAATTTATAAATTTTAAATAATAATGCTGATATCTACTTCATTTTTCTATAAATTATTTCTTCAAGCAATAATATTTAGATATACTAACTATTTGATCCTTTTATTAAAGAATCAGCTAATATATTGTGATTCATCATTCATAATATTTTAAATCTTTGTTTGAATCAGATTCTTCTGATGATGACATTTGTTGATTCCAAAATAGATCTTTGAAGTATTTAAAACTTTATAAAAAGTGTATATTTGGTGCTAAAAATGATAATCATTTTTCACTTCTTTGAATAACCATTCTCTAGCTATTTCCCATTTTCCTACATGTTGTTAAAAATGATAAAGAATTTAAAATTCAATCTACCTTGTAACCCAGACGTGGTTCGTAGCCGTTTGTATTTTACGTATGTATCGATACGTATACCCCAATTTAACAGACTTCATGCAATGAACTGCGTTGACCCTCAAATTAAAATTTTATAGAATTTAATAAATAATTTTTAGAAATAAAGTAAATCTAATATGAATTGGTCTTACAATATTTAGTGTTATATCTTATAAATAATATGCTTTTTTTAATCTATTACTGTGATCGCGCGCGGGATTGAAATTGCTTGAACCGAAGTCGGTGAACTGTAATTAGGTCAAGAGACATTTTTTATTTTAATATTAGTTTCATGAAAGAACACAACTATGGCTTATGAAATATAATATTAATGTATTTAAGTTGGCAATAATACATGCACACAATAGAGCAACTTACACTATCAAAATAAAGAGAGTAAGCTTTTTTCTAGCTTTACCTAATGCAAAACATGAAAGCGTATTCTTAAAAGAGACATAATTCGAAATTTCTCATGTACAGGATGAATAGGACAGAAATTAAGGCTTTACAAAAAATATTTGAAATATCGAATCGCCAGTAAATTTATTAATCCAAAAAGAATGTAATGAAAAACACGAATAAATTCGGTGTTGTTTAAAGAAATCTACATTTTTTGAGAATAACAACAAAAAGGATAAAATATTAACATTGACTTTACACGAGGTTTGCTGAACCTTTGAGAGCCGATTCCTTGAAACCTTGTATATTTTCCCTCCTTAAACCTATTTTTTTATATTAAAACTTCTTTTTATTAATTTTCTTTCAACACTTTTTTCCCTGTTAATAAAAAGAAGTTTTTATTAAAAAACTTATTTGTCGCTTTTCTAATTTAGATTCTAATTATTCTAGAGTCATGCGTTACTTTAATTCTCAGACGTCCAATTTCTTTTAAAATTTTATGTAGAATTTGAAGCAACTTTGGAAAATAAGCCCTTATGTTCCAGCTTATATCGTCGAAAGCCTCGCTTTTTGTCATTTATTTATTATAATATGAAACAATGTGCTTTGTGTTTCACATTTATTTTGAAAAATTAAGGAAATCTACAAAATATTGATAAATAAAAATGAATTCTTGCGAAATTCAAAAAACCGGTGAAAATTTCCTGTACAGATAGGTACATACATATCGTAGTGAATCCTTGCAAAATACACAAATTGAGTCCTAGGTGAACTTTCCAGATTACTGCTGGTATTTTCGTTTGTGACGCGTTTTCACAAATTTATGTTTTCAAACAATTATTTTTCCCTTAACAAGTTTGAGGTTTTGAAGAATCATAAATTAAGCTGTTAATTAAGATATCTTCAATACAAGGGTTTGCAATAAATACAAGAGATATAATTATTATAAACTGCATTTGAGGTTGATAAGACAATAACGATGAACCCGAAAATTTAACTTTATTTTGCTTTAATAGAAAAATTGAATTTTATATGATCTACATATGTCTCATTCACTTTGTTAAACTTTTAACTAAGTGACATTTTCATTGCGAAGCGATAATTAGATAGTAATATTTAACAAAACTATTTTGTATGATGTTTAGAAAATTATTAGAATGTTCCTAGGAAGAAGAGAATTAAATTTAATATAGCTTAATTATAATAAGTATGACAAGCAGTTACTGCATATACAATTTTTAAAAAACTTATTAAATTCCTAAAAATTGGAATATCTAATTGAAAAATCCGACAAAATAAATGATAAAACATTGTGGATACATTATTGGAGCCCATACTTATATTACGTAAGGACAAAAAGTTAGTACACACACATACAAAACTAAGTTTGGCAAGTCTCTTAAATCTCACACATATAGAGTTAGGTAGGAATATATTTTTACTTATGAATGTATTGCGCTCATTTCGTTTCTACATATTTTTTCAATTCAAACCGAAGTGTGCCATTGAGTGCTGTAATTTTCAGTCACAATCAGTAATACAGCGCGATGACATCGTTATTCTCTGATTCTCTTGTCGAATACTTATTATAAGCTTTTTTATTTAACAAAAAATAGGAAAAATATATTAAAAAACATTTCATGTGATTAGAGACGATTGATTGGTGAAAATAAAAGATCGTAAGGATATTAAATTAAAATACGATAGTTCAGTTTTTCAAAGAAAAAAATAATCTGAACAAAACAAAATACATAAACAAATTGATCATAAAACCTTAAAGATAATATTCTTCTATGTTATTTTGTAATCATTATACTTCCATGAAAATCTGAAGTTTCAAAACTACAAAAAGGTATAAATTCGGTCTCAAAGATAAAAAAAAAAATCAATGAGAAATCATGGATAATACAAGTGAATCTGTGCTTGTGCAAATGTTAAAGTCTAAACCACTTGTTCTTAAAACTCCAATGTCCATAATGTGTTCAAAACGCGTTAAAAACAAAGATACTCTTCGTGATGATGACTTAGTTTTAACTTCCGATGACTTCCGACGATGGACAAAGAAAAGAAGGATTTTGGGTAAATCAACGGATAATAAAAAGTTTTTATCAAGTGGGGAGGATGATTCGGGCACTGAGCCAGGCTCAAGTTCAAGCTCAAGTGGTTCACCATCCGATGGTGAATGCTGTGAATGTCCTAATGATTCAGGTTGTGATGAGGAAGATGACGAATGTGATCATGAAGCGAAAAATAAAATTGAAGAATTATGTTGGCAGTTAGAAGAAAATTTCAAAGAAAATACTGTAAGTTTATTGCAAAGCTTAAATAATTTTGGGAAAATATATTTCTCACAATGAAATATTATTTAATAAGAACAAAATAGAATTATTTATTATTATACAATTTAAATACTCTGTAAAATTAGTGTGAAATCATTATGTATATTTATTTAGTGAATCACACTGAGGTTCATTGAACTTTTCAAGTCTCGACCAGAAAGTCTCAACAGTTGCAAAATGTAGTTGTGTACGAAACTAGAGTTGTGTGCGATGAAAATATTTTGTTTTCCTTGCATTCACTTTAAAGTTTATTTCGTCATAAGAAGCATGAATGTGTTGAACAAAAAAAATGCTTTTGAAGTACTGACACAGACGTAAGAGTCATTAATACTGCAAGTTCGTTTCGATGTCGAGTCAGTAACACAAAAATAAATTTTCTTTTTTTTTTGAGATGAAAACAACTTTGCTCCACTTTCAGTTCATTCACGTCTCTTTACTCTTCCATCATTATTTCTGTTAGTGAAGGAAACAATATTCTCACGATTTTGTAGTATGCGCACGTTCGCACAATATTCATCAACACAGTAAACGGAATATTTTCGTTTGGAGTTAGTTTAGCGAAGAGAAAAGAAACTTATTGGGAACGATTATGAAATGATTTTGAACTCTCTTTTTTTCACAGCCTAACCAAATGCAAAAACGAAAAGGGAAAGTGAAAAAATAAAAATCATAATTTTCAAATGTTTGCACATTCTGTTAGTAAGATAATTCGAAATAAAAATTAAAAAATTCTCTTTATTCATTTTGATTCCAGGGTTTCTTCCGTCGCTCTATTCAGCAAAAAATTCAATATCGACCTTGTACGAAAAATCAACAGTGTATGATACAACGGGTAAACCGCAACAGATGTCAGTACTGCAGGTTAAAAAAATGTATCGCTGTAGGAATGAGCAGGGACGGTGAGTTTTAATTCATATTTGAAAAGAGATTTTTGGTTTATCACACATTTTCTTATATTATTATTAGAATCGTGTAATATGTCAGTCAGTCTGCTTTATCTACAAAAAAATAATGACCAATCTATTTCTGAGAAAATAAATACTTAAATGTTCTTCATAAACATAATAGTTAATGCAATAATTGGCGGAATATTTACTTAATAAATTTTATATGAAGAAAACGGATATAAATTTATACATAAGTTCTCACCTTGAATTGTTAAAATTGTGTTGCCTTCGAAAAACAAACAGAGTTTGTTGGGAATATTAGGTAGTAACAAAGTGAAAAAAAAATCAGAAGTCAAATTAGAGCTAAATTTTATAACGTATCTTTTACAACCTTTATACCTGATCAATGTATGCATAGTCCTTCTATTATACAAGTTGTATTCCATTTTATAATACTATAAAACAATCACATTTAATATAAAATTTCATAAATTTATAATAGATTAGTATTCGTAAACCATTTGAGTCGTCTTTTTTAAAATTCCAACATAGAAAATGATCGTAAAAAGTTCGTTGACCTTAACAAGAAAGAGATGAATGTGGGCCAATGAGAGGAGGCAAAAGCAAAAAATTATCCCTGGATAGATTTTAGAAATGCTCTCAAATTTATAATCTGCATAAAAATTTGATCTGATGCATCTTCTTTTACTGCTTACCTATGACGCAGATATTTCTACAAACAATATACACTCTGATATTTGATCAGTCATCCTTTCTTGGACTGTTCAATCTCTTTTTTTATTCATTTGCTTTTCCACAATGACAAAAACGACCTGAAAAAAGTTCATTCACATTTAGTTCGCTCTCTACGTAGTTCGCTTACATATTCGCCCTCGACACCCATAAAGTGTAGTAGTATTTGAATAAGCATGCGAACAATCCCAGTCACCTTTTTTCTATGGGGTATTTAGAGTGCTAATAGCTTGCAAGTTCTTTATTAAATATATTTTTGCCAATAAATTTTTTTTATATATTTTTATGTGAATTATATTTTCGCTTTCAATATATAAATAAATAAATAAGTATATTTACTTATATAAGCTTATATACATATAAAATCGTGAAATTGAGTTCAATATAGTTTCTCCTTGAAACTACTTAGTTTCTATGTATGAGACTGTAGTTCATTGAACTTTTCAAATAAGCTCGAAGTACTTGAAAGTAGGTCATACGAGCAAATTGTACATATTTTGTACTCAACATTTTGAGAGAAAAAGCCATTATTAAAAATTGAGCTCAAAAGTCATTGACATAAAAAATATTCAGGGCTCATTCTTACATCCTTAAAAAGTTACGTAAATATTTTCCCTGAAAACAGAAAGAGGGAAAAGTTCAAAGTTCAATAAACTTTCTGCGAAGGTTCTGGATGGGAAATTAGGTCAATGTGTTCTTTTCTAAATATTTATTTATTTTATACAGTTACTCGATTCAAGTGGTGGTTGTAAGATTAAAATAAGGCAACGCAGCATTTGAAATAATAATTATTTCATATTTATTGCAAAAAGCTTTCACTTCGGAAATTTCTTTAGTTAACTTATTATTATAGCATAACATAGCGATTTTTTTTCTTTGCTGCATGCTAATTAGTTACGAAATGTTATTTTATGTAAAAGTTTCACTTTTAACAAATGTATATAACATGTATCATAACAATATGTATACTACTTTTTTTTTTAAAATCCTTTAACTATGAATCTCACATGATTAAAAAATGTTTATTAGAAAAGTTTTGTACTGCTATTGAACTTCCCACCTATCTGTACAGAAGTAAAAAAAATAATTTGATGATTTCATGAAAAGTCTTTCTCATTAAATAGTATCAACAAAAAAAAAGAAATTTAATTGATGATTTATATATATATTATAAAGTATTTCATCAATTTTAGGACTAATCCGATTATTCACATAAATTCTTCATACAAAGTTAACAAAGAAATATTAACTGCTTTAATCGCCATCTATCGTGTAAAAGCAATACTACAATTTTCTATTTCTAAAAAAATTATGAAACGTTTTGTGTTTAATATTTTATTAAATAAAAGATTTATCGGATATTAGTATCTAGGTAATTAGTATTGAAGCACACAATGACGTCTGAAATGTAGATAGCTTAAAAGAATAATTAAATCCGTATTTTACTTAGTTATCTAGTCATCACATATTCAAATGTTTATTAATCTTAAAAAAGTTATAAATAATATACTTACAATTAATGTCGGTCCTCTTTCAATTATTGTTCTGCAAATAGAAAAAGAAATTTAAAACGATATTTGAATTTTTTGATAACATAGAAATTGAAATATCTTTTGAATAATTTAAAACATTACAGCAAAGCATCAAAGAAAACGTGTTTTCTTTGTTGTTTTGCTGCAATGTTTTAATGTTTTATGGCTCTAAACATTAAAGGAAAAAGAGAAGCAAAGCTCGCTGCAGAGTATTTTTTTAGCTTTGTAGTGAGATTTTGATGAAAATGAGTTTGGCAGTTTCTGAAAAGTAATGGTTGCGATCGGATATCAAATTGTGCGTTTCTTTTAATTTCGGCAAAAAATCATGAAGCTTTTCAAAATTTAGAAAATAGAAAATTGAGTAAGGAAAAAAATATTTTCAACATTTGTATCTACTCAGCAAATCAAAATTATCATTGTTCCTAAATTAAATTAATTTGATTTGAAAAATAATAAACTATCCAAATGTTTCATCGCTTGTTCAATACTAGCGGTGGGAGTGAGAGGTGTAGAAGATGAGCGAGGATTCGCCGATTTTACGAGGCATTCTTCGAGATAACGCGACATATCGTAAGTTTTAATCATGATCTTCCACATTGACCTTAATCGACATTCAAACGTTCAAGAGCTTCATTCAAGGCCATAACCTTGACATCATCATCATTTCTACATAAATACATATATATTCCTACATATACAGTTGACTAGTAGCCGAAATGGATTTGTCGAATATTAAATGATTTGTTTGTTTAAATGTACAAGTTGTGTGTATTTGTTTGTAAGTTTTTGTATGTTTGTGTCTTGATCTAATTTAGCAATTGCGGAAACTATGAAACTGTGTTTTTGAGGTTTCGCTGTTCGCTTAAAAAATATTTTGCGAGACATCAGCTTTACTTCCTCTCTCCGGTTTGCTTTTGAATTTCGTTTTCACCCTTGAACCTTGCCTCATAAACATTGATAGATATGCATTTACATTGTTTTAAATGAATGATGAAGGTGGAAGAAAATTAGAAAAGAAAAACAAGCATTTTAAATGAACACTCAATATTTAAACCACCGATAACAAAATCATTCGGATAATAAGCATTACTAAATTCTCGTTACAAAAAGAAAAAAAAAGTAAATAAAATTCACGGAAAAAAAAACAGCTACACGCGCGTGACCTTGAGAATCGAGCTATAGAAACAGAAATGCCTTTCCTTCGGATGGTTCTAGAGTTGATATTTGTCCAATTGTGTGGGAATGTTAAACGTTTCCACCATTTTGGCGCGTAAACCTCCTCACTCTTGTCTTCTGGTATATCTAAAACACCAAGAATTTGTAGAATATAAGAGAAAATCTCCTAATATTAACCGTCGAAAAGGAAAGCAGCGACGCACATAGCATGAACTTGAACAAAAATTTTCCCTTTCTGTTACAACAAAAAAAAAGATTATGAGGGAGGGTGAGCAGGATGACGCACGCACATGGCCTTGACACGTGAAATGTCAATGTGTTGGTGCGATGAATCTTCACATGGCCAAAGATTCATTCATATCAGGTCTTCAAAAATTACGTTTAAATTTTTTGCAAATTAGAGCTCACATTCGCAAAAGTTTTTTTCATTCTCTTGTCAAGAAGAACTAATTCCCATTATTCACATATGATATAAATTGGTGTTAAAAATTAAAAAAGACCAGACTTAATCATTAAATTAACCGATTGAAGAAGTTTTCTTAAGAAAAAATTTCTAATTAAATATTGTTTATTTTTTTCTGCTTTCAGCTGTTCGATTTGGTCGCGTTCCAAAGCGTGAAAAGGCTCGCATTGAAGCTGCCATGCAGCAATCGACACGAAATCGAGCTATAACCACAAATGTTTGGACTGATCTTGAGGATCTTCAGCATGTGATCGACACTGTTGTGGGTGCACATCTTGAAACTTGTGAATTCACGCGTGATCGTGTGCATGAGATGAAAATAAGGGCAAAAGATTGCCCGAATTATACTGAACCGACAAGGGTGTGTTTACATGATAATTTACTAAGTAGTGAAATTTAATTTTTTGCTTTTCTTTCGCTAGGCTTGCCCTTTAAATCCAGCACCTGAAATACAATCGGAACAAGAATTTTCCCAGCGCTTTGCAGACGTGATTCGCGGAGTCATTGAATTTGCTGGGAAAATACCCGGCTTTGAACTTTTAACCCAGGGCGATAAATTTACATTGCTAAAAGCCGGACTTTTTGATGCACTATTCGTCCGCTTAATTGGGATGTTTGACACTTCCATGGATTCTATCATATGTTTAAATGGTCAACTTATGCGAAGAAATTCAATACAAAACGGAGCCAATGCGAGGTTCTTAGTCGACTCAACTTTCAAATTTGCAGAAAGGATAAATGCAATGCAATTAACAGATGCTGAAATTGCACTTTTCTGTGCAGTAGTATTAGTAGCCCCAGATCGCCATGGAATAAGAAACTACGAACTGATCAATCGAATGCATGCAAAGCTCAAGCAATGTTTACAACACGTGATTTCAAAAGGTCGCCCAAGCGAACCTGAATTCATGGGAGATCTCATGAATACTATTGGAGATCTTAAAACACTTTCGACACTTCATACTGAGAAATTAATTGTATTCAGAAATGAATTGAGTCAACAGTTGGGCCATGAACAGCAGCATCAGCAACAAGTTAAACATAAGAATGAAATAACTGATTCCACGGTAATTTTAATCTCAAGATATTTGTTTTGATTATTATCGAAAGTCCTTTTTTGTAAATCAATTCAAATTTTTTACTTTCATTAAATTTCAATGTTGTCTAATTGTTTTTTATTACGAAATTTTTATTAAATTAAGGAAATCAACCACCATCATTTCCAATCTGCACAACAAACTCAGTCTGAACGCATAGAGATGACGTGTCAACAACGGTTGACACCTCAACCATCGGATATAAGCATGTCTACCATTAGTAGTAGCGACTCTTCTTCACCCCACATAAAATGTCCCACAAAACAATCACCAATATTGTTAGCAAAGCTTCAAGGCTGTCCGATGGGCTATCGGCAAAAGTCCATTCAACCACAATTAAACCATCCAAGTTCAAATTCAAGCGCAGAAGACGAAATTGTAGTGCAACAATGCCCAACAACATTAACTCATCCAAATATCCCAGCTGGCACGACAATCACAGCAGTCACACGTCCTATACCATCAGTAAATAGAAAACTTGAAAGTCCTACAGATTCAGGAATCGAAAGTGGATCAGATGGATCAATTGGCAAAATTGGATCTGGTTCTTCATCATGTTCATCCCCGAGAAGTTCTTTAGAAGATGGATCTTCATCACTTGCTGAGTCCCTTCCAACTCTTAAAAGAGCTTTGGAGAAGCCCGCAATATTTGATCCTCATATGTATCATAAAAAATTCCGACGCTGTCCGATGAGTGGTGAATCTCTTGATGGTGGCCAAAGTCAGTTACAAACAATTTTAACGAATACAAAGTCTCAAAATATTCACTGCAGCAACAACACTGTCAACAGTGGTCTTGCAGTCACTCATTCAATCCTAGCGGGAACTCTTAAAACTGCACCGAAAATGAGCGATGAGCATCGGAAGAATCAGGAAATTTTAAATCGTTTCATCGATCAAGGCGGCGTTATAAAAACAAGCAAAGAAGTTTTAGCTAAAGTCCAAATTGCACCAGTAGATCACGAAGGTACTCCTTTAAATTTATCCAAAAAAACTTCAGCCGTTACGGCGAATAGTGACGAAACAAAGATGATGGTGGAAGCTTAATAATATTGTGGACCTAACAAAAGCGATGCAGGGAAAACATTAAGAAATTTGAAATTTAAAACAGATCTCCTTTAAACATATAACTTTGTAAATAATTCAACTTATAAGAGTGTTGACTTTTTCAAATGAAAAAAAAACGATTTGTCATAAAAAAATAAAACAAGAAAAAAAGAAGCAGTCAGAAAATTGATATTTGGATAAGCAACAAAAGAAAAATTAAAATAAGAATTTAATGAATAGGATACATATTAGATCTATAATTTAATATAATACATTATTTAAGTATTTAGTGTAATGACCTACATACCTACTAAATACACATATAGTATATGTGAATACTGAATTTTCTAATTGTACTTTCTAATGCATACAATCTAAATATTGTATTATTAAACTTGTACATTTCAAAGAATATTATTTCAAATGAAAGTTTTTCGACAACAAAAATATGTTGCATTATGCTTTTCTGTTGGCTTTTCTTATCCATATGCACCTCCATATCTTTGTTTTAGTGACGTTCTTTTTAAATTATTTCCTCTTTCATCTGTTCCCTCATTAAATTCAGCTTATTGATTTAATATTCTCTAAAGCAAGAAAAATAGCATCTCTCATAGCCCATAGACAGGATAATTTTATTTAAAGACAATTGCGATAACTTTTATGTCCGATTTTTTTCTTTTGTGTTTTTGAGCTTTTTATTCAAAAACAAACATAGATAAATGGTTATAAATATTAATATAAAGTCCTTTTTTTAAAATGCTGTATATGAGGAACAGAAATCAAATTTTTTAAAGCTTTTACAAAGAAAACTCTTTATATTTTACTGAAATAATAAAATTGCAATATTAAAAAAGTAAGTTTTCAATTTTCATAAAATTTAAATTAAGCGTGAAAAATATTTACTAATTTTAAAGGATTGCAAAATAATCTATTAAAACACAATCAAAGGGTATGTCTAAAACTATAGAATGAATGACAGTGTTATTTGGCCTAAAGTTTTATTTTGATTTGATCTATGTATGTATCTTTGAAAAAGTAATTTGAAGTTAAAACCTTAAAATATTTTCTGATGAATTCAGGTATCGGAAGCTTATCTAATTCTTCAAACGGACTTATTTGTTTGCAAGAAGTTCTACGCCAAAAATTTCATTATTTTTAAGTTAAAAGCTCTATAATAAAAAGCAACATACTGCATAGAAGCATCTTTCAAATTTATGATTCGAATACTATAAACAGTTCGAACTCCAATAGATTGGTAGCTAATAAAATCGATTTGCAATAATAATGGAGTTCTATCAGGTTCCAACTTATTACAGTTCGTACTGTTTAGCTGATTTGAATGAAATTTTGATGGAAGTCTAATCATGTTGCTTTTAATTAAAACCATTTTAACTGTATAAAATAAATGATAGTCTATCGTGAAAGCTCTTGAAATCTTAAAGGACCTCCATTTAGCTTCCAACCCTGATTAAAAAAGTCTTACATAAAATACGAGCCGCTCTTTGTGGGATAAATAATTGTAAAAAGAGAAAACATGCCCTTACAGAACATTGTAAATAATGACTTCTATAGTTCTATTAAATATTCGTCTGAATATGACAATTTTTGTTTTTTTTAATTTAGATTTATTAGTAAGTATTTTACTTAACAGCTTAAAAATTTAATGTGTAGTTTACATAAATAATAGAGCATAGTTATATAGTTTATTCACAAAAAGAAAAAGAAACAACAGACAATGCATATTGGTCATTTTTTAAAGTTAAGTCCCTTTTTCAATGTTTGAAGACCAATAAATATCAAGAAATTAAAGAAATCATTCAGTATGATTCTCAAATAATGTGTAACTATCTTATTATACACAATGATAGATATTTTCATATTATTTCATTGATCATACAGTCATAGAAAAGAAAAATTAAAAAAAAAGTTTCTTGCTGACTAATTGTAAGTTTTACTATATAAGTTTAATAAAGATACACGTAGAGATAAATAAAAAGAAAAAATAATTTAATATAATATTTCATCAGTATTTGTATTAAATTTTCTTATTCAGGTAGTTTTTCTTCTTTCAGGCCATGAGGTAATATTGTGTATTCCATTTTTTTGTACATATGTAGGTACTAAGAAATAAAGTTTCATCGTAATTAAAAAAAATATTTTGTCTCTTTTTAGTACATTGACAGATATTACGAATAACATAAATATTTAAATTATTTTACTTAACTTTATTTTATCGCTTACCATAAAACTTGCTACGTCAGAAACTAGTGAACTATATTGAATTCGTTTATTCGTGCTCAAAAAAGTTTCTCAGGTAGATAGTTTCTTCTCATACTTGGAATATTATCTTTCCTAATATTTTCATTAAATTAACGATTTCCTTAATTATTACATAAAAAAGTTCAATAGGATTTAACTACTTTAATTGGAAAATTTAAATCTCCCTACGAAGTAGATACATTGCATCTATCTCTTCATTCTCACTGTTTTTCTAAAAAATCTTGCTTAAACTGAAAAACCTCTTATGTATGCTTACAGATAAAAAGTTACGTGATATATTCTTACAGATTCGAGTAAAATCTCGAAAAATCCCTTGTGGTAAAAACAACCCAATATTCTTAAAGATTTAAATTTTATTCAATTTCATTGTTGGAGAATTTAAAGGCACATTTAGTTTTTCCTTTATTTTTTTTATTAAAAAACATATTTTATAACTTAATAGCAACAACATCATTAAGTTCCAAATTAAAAACAGTTCACTCAGTATTCATACCGAATAATTTATTCTTTTTATATCTATAAGAAAATAGTGGTGAAAAGGGAAATTAGAATTCGCCAGATGAAAATGTGAAGATATCCTTAAAGTTTCTTCCATCAATCAATAGATAACCAAAATCGTTTATTTTTTCATATTTCATCGCATAGAAATTAGATGAAACCTTCAGATATCTCCATAGTCACGATCTCCAACGTTTATCCGATCAGATGAGCTTGTAGCTGTGAATCCAAGAATGCGGCCATCGACAACTTTCATCACTTTCTTAGATTTAATCTTCTTGTTTTTAGACTAAAAAATATAAAAAATATAATATTATATAAATGAGAAATAACTTTCAACATTGTTACCTTTACTTCCTGAAAGTCACTGCTCACACCCCCACTTAAAGTGGGCGTTATTGCCGGTGCTGGGCTGCACATGTCATCAATATGAGCATTTTGCAATCGCTGTTGATTGCGTTGTTTACTACGACGTTCCAAAAATTGCTTTGCAAATTCACTGCACTCCTTTGTTTCACCTTTGGTTAGATATATTAAACGAGAATAAAACATATTTAAGAAAATTATTATGTTGATGATTGAGTTCAAAGGTTTCAGGAAAGTTTTTTCAATTTGATTTTACCAAGAACATTTTTTCTTTCAAAGGAGAAAAAAAAAGGATTTTAAACTTAAAACAAAATGAATATATATGTAAAGTATATTATATGTAAAGTAAATATAATACAAGCATGTCAATTCCTGTGATATCACAATAGGTTAATAAAGGTTCTTAATTAAAAAAAGTTCTTGATAAAAGAGAAAAGATAGTATGAAAGAAAACAAATAATTATACAATTGAGCATAGACGGAATAAATCTGTATTTGTACAACATTAGAAGAATGTGTTCAATAGATTTTTGCAATCACTAGTACATAGTTTAAAATAAATAAATAATTAAGAATGTTAGATGAACTGACTTTGAACTCATTCTTCTATTATTGTAACTTTTCTTCTACTGATTATCGAGAATATGCTCAACCATATTTATGAATTATTATTTATTACCTAAGTACATTTTAATGTAGTCTTTGACTTCAAACGGTGACTCAATATCTTGCAAGAAGCTGACAAATGTTGGAACTGTGGAAATATTACAAATTAAAAGAATATTCATCAAAAAACAAAACAATTAATGGAAAATGGAAGGTCTCGGAATGTCAAATAATTGTTGATTTATTTTCAGAGACATGCAGTAAAGAAAACATGAGTCGATTCCGAGTCCTGGTGGTTAAAATAAATTACCATCAACATTTCCGTTCATGTTGCTTAAAGTTTTCATGCACCACGATGTGAACTCGTTCGTATTATTATCATCCTTTTTGTCTTTCTTTTCTCCAGGCAGTGATTTCTTTGCTATTATCTGATTTTTCTTCGCTTGTTGTGGTGGAGCTGTTGCTTGTAAATGTTTTCTATTATTGTTACCTGTTGTTGCAATGGAAGCCATAGTCTGACTTTTGCTTAACATCTGAATTGATTTTCCTAGGTTGTTTATGTTTGATTTCGTTGGTTCTTCCCAAAAGCCACTTCCACTTGTTTGCTCTCCACTCCAAGCTCTTGGCTGATGCCAAGCCGTAGATTGTGGCGTTGAATTCCAAATTGACACATCACTGTTTGTTGTCGGAATATCTTTTCTTGCAGCACCACGTTTTGCTTGAGCAATAGCCTCACGATCACGTTGTACAGCAGCAGCAGATTGTTCTTCAGCTTGAATTTCATCAAGCGTCTTAACACGTGCTACAGGCGTTGCACCCCATTTCAAGCTGTCATTCTTCTGTGTCTCAAGCTTTTGCACCATTTCAAGTTTATGTTGTTGTTCTTTTTCACGTAAAGCTGCTAATTCACCTTGTCGTCGTTGAGCTTCCGACTTTTGTATTTTAGCAAGACTTGTGCTACTTGCTATATTCTGATGGCCAACCCATGGAGCTGGTGCTGCAGGTTGATTACTTCTATCTTCTTTCTTCAAAGTTAGTTGTTTCTCAGCACCACCTGGAGACTTCTTCTTGCTATTGTTCTGTTTCATAGTTGTCGCCATGGATGCTCCTGAAGATTCTTTTACTGTCTGTTTTTTCTGGTCATTAATTCCTTTTTCATCATCTTTTTGCTTCTTCTTTTTAGGCTCTTGAAATTTGTTGACCGTTGTTGACCCATGGCTCATTTCAAATGATATTTCATCTGATTGATTAATGTTGTTGCTATTGTTATTGTTGTTGCTTTTATTATTAGTATTATTGTTATTATTGCCATTTGGCAAAACCTCATGTTGTGATGAAGGATTATCAACAACAACAATTTGATTTTGCTGCATTGGACTTAATCCTGGACGTATATTTTGAATATGTGTTTGGTTTGAATCTTCAACTTTCGATACATCCCAAATAGCAAGTGGCACATTTTGATTCCAATTGTTGATTATATTTTGATTGAGAACATTTGGAAGCATTTGAGGATTTAAAGTCGACGCTGTTGACACCAATTCTAAGTTATTGTTGTTTGTGTTTGGTTGTTGAATCATCATTTTCGGAGATCCTGATCGCTTAATCCATTGAGCTTCATTAACAACTCCTTCAATATTACCTCCAGTCTTTTGTAATTGCATCAATAATTGTTGGATGGGATCAATATCTTGCGGTGTTGGAGCTATAGGTTGTTGTGTTGAAGGAATAGGAAGAGGATTTGGATAAAATTCGTTTGTTGCCCCACTGCTGCCCATCATTCGTCGTAAATCCAAAGGTGAAGTACCAGTCGTTGCATGAGGCAGAGGTTTTATCACATAAGGATCTGGCAATGGTCTCTGATGAGTCAATCGCATGTTTAACAGCATAATTTGTTGTTCCGGTGTCATCATACTCCAGTCGCTTATATCATTTGGTTGTTGTTGTTGATGCTGTTGCAATAAACGCTGATGTTGTTGATGATGTTGCTGTTGTTGTTGTTGTTGATGTTGACGTTGTTGTTGTTGTTGAACTCTAAATGGATCCATATCAACCGAAGGATGAATAGTCTGTTGTTGTTGTTGCTGCTGCTGTTGTTGTTGTTGTTGTTGAATAGGATCCATTAAATTGCCAGCAGCAATGAAAGGTCCAGACCGTCCATAAACATTGACTAATTGACCTAGAGTCATAAAACCGCCATCAATTGAGCGTCGAACCATAAGAGACTCTTGAAAATAACCCGCTTTATACCATTCACTCATATCTTGAGCTGTAAACGGTCCTTGAGTGTCACCTTGTGGATCAAGATAAAACCAATCTATCATGGCAGTTGCTGTTGGTGGTTGTTGCGGCTGTTGTTGTGACTGAGTTGCAGTAGTATTTACTTTAACATCTTTTGGATCATCTTCCATTATTAAATTGGCAACTAGATCTGCGACCTCTTTCATTCGATCAATATGTGTAATTGAAGTGTTCTGGGAGGAACCATTAATGGTCGCGTTAACCAACGGATCAAAATTTGTGTTATTCTGTTGTCCTTGTTGCCCTTCGTGTTTCTGTTGCTGCGATTGCTTTTTACTCATGAATTCTATGAACTTCTGAGGATGTTCCGATCCCTCAAATGATGATAATCCTTCCACATTCAGAGTGCAACTATCATCAGCTTTCGTTTCATTGTTTTCCTTTTCTTCAATCGAATTCGCTACAGTTTTTTTCTCTTGAGTATCACATGAAAGAGCATTGTCACGTTGATCTCGTTCATTATCATGAAAAGCACCTGTTGCATCAAAAGTACCTCCATAATCAAATGATTCCGTAGCCCATTCGGGAAGGTGATCTTCATCCCATGATTTTTTAAACAAAACTGCTGCTTTTGAAGGCGTTGTGGTTGAAGTTTGATTCGATGCAATACTAGTTGTAGAAGATATTGATTGCTGTTGCATTGGAGAACCATTTATTGCGCCCGTAGAGTCCCCACTTACTGCTACTCCATCACCATCTCTCCAACTTGTACTACGAGCTAATAAAAGAAGATTTTTCAATAAAAAATATACTAAAAAAGACATTCCTGAAATCTACAAACCCCATTTTTCTCTTGCTATAGCTGAGCCATTGCTTGAACTCCTCCAGTCATTTTCAGATTGATTAACTACATTACTATCCTCTCGATTGCCTTTTCGCCAATTTTCCATTCCTGAACTTCCTCGTGAAAACTCTTTCCTAGGACTGACAGTGTTACCACTTCCAGACCAATCAGAGGAATCAGTTCCATTACGATCAAGCCAAGTTCGACGCCCTTCATCATCATATAATGATGTGGACCTAATATATCCTGCACTGGTGTGATATAAGCCTCGACCTCGTCCTCTACCTCTTTCAACTAATCCACCTCTAATTATTCCAGTTCCACTACGTCCTATACCACTGCCTGGCATAAGAGGACGTATATGCGACGTTCCCCACGCAGCAGGTGCTCCCAAACTTCGCTCATCTTCAGTATTAGGTTGTAAAGCTAATGGTACTTGCCAGTCAGCAACATATAAGCGACGAAAACGGGTTAGAGCATCTGGAAGTCGAGTAGATTTATCGCATAAACTTAGCATCTCTTCACGTCCATAACGATGATCTGAAAGCACAGGACGACATGTTATACTGTCTGTTGCCGCTACAATAGATGACGCTGAATTATTAACGTTTGATGACACGTTTGCAACACTATTGCGTAACCATTCAGGACCAAATTTAATTGATTCCGTCATTTTATCTCCTAAAAAAAGACAGCATAATGAATAAATAAAAATTTTCGAGGACTGGTATAAAGCTATAATTCACCTGATTCAATTTTTTTTTTCTTCTTTTATTTTAAATAACTTCCCGATTGAACAATAGCTCCGCTGGTGTTATAATTTGTATGATTTTTCTTTCCTTCGTAACGTTACGATGAGTTTGTAAAGGCTAAAATAATATAGTAAAATTTTCTTTGATACCACATGGTAATGTGTACAAAAATGCAGAGATTTATAAAGTTAATTTTTAATGGATTTGGTTTTGTGAATCTAAATTATGCAAATGTCAGAGATTCTTCTCAAATAGTTATATGTAGAAATATTTGATTAAATTTAACATTAAAATAATGAAAAGGATATTTCGCTTATTATTTTTTTTAGTATTATACAAAAACAAAATCTATAGATTGTTAAAAATATAAAAGGCGGCATCTAGGTAGTGCTGCTAAGTTCATATGTAAAAGGTTTATGGCAAACTGAAGCCTCATTTTTTAATTATTTTATCTACCCAAGTAGTTGCTGTATATTTTTTAATTGACATTTATCATGAATTCTAATGGGAAGTTTCACTTGTGCTTTTTCTAAGTATAAGCAAAACTATCTAAAATATTATATGTTATATTCGTTTAGAACTTTTATAAATATAAAACAATGCAAATTCCTAATTTGATGTGATTAAAGTAACTTCAATAATAAAAAAAGATCTTGGAAATTAAATATGGCGTCGCAGATTTCATCATGGATTTTTTTTTTCTTAATTTTACTGATAAAAACAATTCTGCGAACATAGAATCAATTCAATTATATACTGTAAATGTTTAACATAATTCAGCTTTTTAGGAAGTTTTCTAATTCAATGAATTACTTTACGTACATGGTAAAAGAAATAGTACGATATTTACCTAAGAATTTTTACTTTAAAAGTGATGACTTCAAGTATTTAAAGAAACATTTGTTACAAAACTTATAAACAAACCTTTCGAAAATATAATTCAAATATTAGAAAACCGGTATAAATTTTAATTGTTAAGCAGCTAAATTCTTTATTTCTAATTTTTCTTATTTCTGTTAAATTATCATTTACATTATTATCTACCTATTAATTCAAAGTTCTTAACAATTAACAAAAATAAAAAATAAAAATAAACCTCCCCGGCCGGGAATCGAACCCGGGTCTTCCACGCACTGCTATTATATTGACAGGCGGAGATACTCACCACTATACTACCGAGGATCTGACGAAGCTTTTGCAAAATGTATTATTTTACTAATCTAGCACAATTCTTTTATATTCAAAATTAATAAATTAATGAATTAACGAAAGTGATTTCTTTAAAATTAACTCGACTTAAAATGTGGAAATACACACACAATATGAAAAATCAAAATGAGTTATAACACAACCGGTGCAAACCTACAATTTTTTGCTTTCTAATAAAAGAAAATCAAATATCTAGATAGTTTTAATGAATAATTAAAGTAATGAAGCAATAACGCTATTACTTTTTTTTGAAGCTAAGATATTTGTTGGATTTTGCTGTCGCCAAAATTCTTCACGTGCATTTAAAAAATCAATTGCCTCTGTGGCATATGTAGAAATGTCTTCATTTTTTGTATCCGCACGTTTGAGGTTTGGATGTGCCAACAAATTTTCTAAATATTCCTTATCAACAAATAATTCACCGAGTAGTTTTCGAGATTGTTTACGTTCACATATTTCTTTTGCTGAAGGCTTTAATTTCGTTTTATTAACTTTAGACGCTTCATTAGAAGAAAATTTTCCAGTTGTTTGTAAATTGGTAAGAGCTCGCTGGTCGACTTTTTTTTGACAGCCTCCAATTGTTGCTTCTATAGCTTCTTGTGATTTTTGAACACCTTAAAATAGGATATAAAATATTAGTCACTGTTTTTTTAAACATTTAGCCAAATAATATGTCAAAAATCAAATAGCTTTTATCTTTCAAAACGAAGAAAAAAAAATGCATAGAAATCTATAAAACCACCTATGTACATATATGTAGATCATAACTATTTTCTATTTATATGGAAGGAAAATGTACCTAATAATAAAAGAGTTTCTCTATAATATTTTTTTTTTCTATAGTAGATAGTTGTTTTTCAATTTTCTTATTGAGGAAATTGATTAGCGAAAATTTTCATGAAGAGTGCGAAAATATGTTTGAGGGCTTTCTGGACTGATTTATGGACTACTTATTTGACAATTTTATTCTTACTTAACACAATTTAAAATAAAAAAAAACCCAAAAGTAACTACCTAGACGAAAATTATCTAGTTCAGGGCGTAATCTCAAACCACGATAAAAGAACATAAGGCTGAATTCAAATCTTCCAAGATAGTACAAACTTTCTGCTTTTTGAAAAATTGCTCTGATACTGTTTTTATCCATAGATAACGCTGTTTCCGCATCAGTTAGAGCTTTTTCTGGTTCTCCTAATTGTAAGTAGCACTTGCTCCGTGCAATAAGTGCACCTTGGTCATTAGGGGACATTTCAATGGCCTGAAATATAATGAGAAATTTTTAAATCAGACAATAATCTTTTATTAATCTCTTAACCTTAGAAAGGAAGCGTAAACCACTTTCTATATTCCCACATTTTATCTCCCTCATTCCCAACATAAGAAAAGCCATGGCATCAGAATCATCAGGCATAATGCGGACTTTAAGTTTTTCAGCAGACTGCTTCTGTTTCAAGTCATATTTTATATCAACGTATCCAAAGCTTACAGCTGCAGCTCGGTCTTTATCACAATAACACTCATCGATCGCCAATGCTACAGTTTTAACTTTTCTTTGCTCAATGATAACGACATTTTTACGACGCCCCCAAGTTCGGGTAGGCGTTGAAGGAGTTTCAATTTTTTCTTTTTGTTGTGCATTATATAAGCGACTAGGCTCAATTTCTTCTTCTAACGTAGGACCAGATCTTACAAAACTTTGAAGAAGCTCAGAATCCATTTTTGTTTATTTATATATCAATTTTCAAACTCTTGATTTTACTCAATGTTTGTAAAGGAATTTATAACCAGCAGTATTCAAAATATAAACACATATTTATGGGATAACTCGTAACCATGGTTATTAAAATGTCTACACTACTGTGTTCTAGATGGCTCTTTTGTTTTAACATTTTCAATTTTCAAAATACAATTATTTCTTACAAGTTGAATCTAAAACGATGTAGAAATGCGCAAAGTTCTTACATCCATAGATGGGCAAGGAACGTCTTGCGCTACTTTGGAGGAATCTGGGTTCCACCAGCGCAAAAAATTNTTCTAGATGGCTCTTTTGTTTTAACATTTTCAATTTTCAAAATACAATTATTTCTTACAAGTTGAATCTAAAACGATGTAGAAATGCGCAAAGTTCTTACATCTTATTTTTAAACTTAAAAATTAAAATTAATTCATGAGTTTTCAGTGGCAATTGTGTGGTTCGCTCGTAAGAGTCCTCAATCAACAACTTTTAACTGCTTTTAAAAACCTCCACTAATTGGACTGCTGTGGTCGTAAGAACCGTGCATACTTTTCATTTCAAAATATAGCACTCGACTAATATCAGTAAATTCATTCACATTTTATGCAAAAGCTTTTAAAGCTCACCTGATTCAACCCAAACAGTGCCTTGTTAAAATTTTGCACTTTCATTTGATTTTTTGCTCCATCACAGAGGATTTTTTTCATCGCGTTCAATTCGTCTTTGGGATTTTTTTTCATTCGTTTTGGAGACATATTATCTAAAATCTGAAATATTATTTGAATTTAAAATTTTAAGTTTATTATTTTGATAAAATCATAAAACATTGGTTCGTTTAAGTTTGAGAGTAAAATTGTTCTTATTTCAAGCTAATAAACCGACACAACTAATTTGATAAATGTTAACACGAAATAACGTTGTAAAATTATATTAATCGGCAATATCAGTCTACATCAAAATATGTTCATATAAATTGTTTCGTTAACATGAATACATTACTATAAAAGTGATATATGGTTTATTACATACATCCCTAACTTCCTACAAACATTCAACGTTTCATGTTAGACTTTAATCAAATCAATTCGTTTCCAATTTGTTTCATTTCCTAACATGAACTTTTGTATGTTTACGGCTGTTTTAATATCTTACTTATTGATTATTATCGATACATTCTCATTGAATATTAAATTTTTATATTTTAATACATAGATTTTTATTTAAATTAGGTAACTATTTTTAATTTCTAAAAAGAAAAAGAACAATTTTGGTTTTCTATTTATGTACATATGTATATGCTTAAAATTTAAGTGATAAATTGTCAGAAATCATTGTAACTAGATTGTTTAACTTCGAAAAGAAAGCTTTAAAAACTTACTCTTACCTCTTCAATTTCTAAATAGTAAAAAATAATTAATTTACGGTAAAATAATTTTCAGACTATTTTTCGTGAAATAGAACAACTATCTAAATGAACGAAAACGTCAAATTGGCTTAACAACGATTTGTCTGCTTTCTTTCAGGAATAAAAAAATTAAAATTGTCATGGAAATACTTTTTCTTTAGCAAATGATATTCAAAAATACATAGAAGGGAATCAAATTATGTATATCTGTAGTAATATCTATAAACAAATTATCCAAAACTGCTTGTTGTTTTTCGTGTCTTACCATTTATTTGAAGTCAGTAAAATATGTACAAATTTATTTTATATGTTTTTATGATATAAAAATGATGAACATTAGAATGAAGAAAGGCAACATGGCACAATAAACAAAAGAGATGGGTAAAACCTTAGCTAATTAAAAGATTCAAAGTTTTTCAATCAATAATACGAAACACAATTTCAAAGGTTAAAAAAATGAAGGAAAATTGTTCATCCTAAAATTTTCAATACATGAATTAAATTGTTATAAACGCTATTCTCAAGGTTTATGTGTAATTAAAAATTAAGATTACAGATGGGGATTATACAAAACATGCTTAAGGTATTCTGGCCTACGTAGATTTCCGAAATACATAAAAATCAAGACGTTTGTTTCAAGATGATTGATATTTGAAGTAATTTGTAATCAATTTGAGATCTGAAGAATTTCAAGTTTTATAGAGTTCCAAAATATAGCTGGCACTCACTCTCAAGTTTTTTTTTATTCTTTACCGTGTTTTTTTCAAAAAATGTATTGAAAGAACATGAATACATATCTACTTACATATATGAATTTTAAGAAGTTTTTTCTGTAAGGTTTGAAAGTTTATGAGGGTAGGACAAAGATTAAGTTTTTTAAATTTTCAAAAGTCATTTTCTTTGTTATCACTTCTTGTAGAAGAACTTTTTATCCAGGATATCCAAAAATTTTACTCGCTGCTTAGAAATATTGATTAACACGAATTGTATTTACTCTCTCTTGGAACGGGAATTAGTTTTCATATTTAAGAAAATGATTAAGTAATTAGACAGCTAAATTTATTGTATCATTAAATGAATTAAATTTGAATGTCTGTTTTTTTGGATAATATGTTGAAGATCTTTTTCTGTGGCTTAACCAGCCTTACTAAATTCCAGACTATTGTATAACAGATATTTGTGTAAATCTTATTATAAAGTTTCATGACATTCCACTTTGGATTCAACTTGATTCTCATTTTCCGGATTATTATCAACGCTGATTTGTTTTCTTCTAACACATTTGAAAATTTCTTTTTGTGTGTCTGTTAAGTTAGTGCAAGAGTCAAAATTATTATCTTTTTTTTCATTGAGCTCATTTTGGAAGGAAATTTCTGTAGGTATAATTCCAACTTGATTATTTTTGTAACGCTTTGATCCTTTAGTTAGCAACTGCAGTGCAGGTGAATAAGCTGGTAAAGCTTGTATGACGGCGTCGAGGAATTTAGGCTGGAAAGTTGGTTTCGTAGGGTTACTAATAACAACATGTGTACTCTTATTTATTTTTGACGTAGGAGAAATATCTTTTTCATTTTCCTTATCTCTTGTTTCATTTTCTTTTAGAATCACCTTTGCTCTACTTTCAAGAGCTGCTCTGGCATCTTCGTAATGCACGATTACTTCCTGCAAATCTGATTTAGAAAGAACAAACAGATTTGAAAACCCCTTAGATCGAACATCTGCTGTTCTTCTGTTGCCCTGAGAACCGCCAATATCAAGTAAACTTATTTCACCAAACCAATGTCCAGTACAAAGTGTCGCCAAAACTTCGTCAGTCCTTCCCAAGACTTGAATTTGGCCAGTTTTGATTATATACATTTCTTTACCCACTTCTCCTTTCCGGCAAACATAATCACCTGGCAAAAAAATAACTGAACGAAGTTTAAGAACAAGTTCTCTTAAAAAAGCTTCATCACATCCCGCAAAAAGCTGAACTTTTGAAAGTGTTTGAATATGAACAGAAATAGCAATATCTGTTTTAAGGTTTGCTGGAAGTGTGTCAAGAATATGAGTTTCATCAAGACTTCTTTGTTGTTCCCAAGTGAATGTAAACCATTGCTTCACCCGTCTTTGCATTTCGGTAGGTAAATTTAAACGTCTCATATATTCAAGAGTTTCGTCGACAAGCTGTTTATATTCAGACTTTAAAAAGCAAACAAATTAAAATAAATAAGATATAAAAAGCTATAAATATGAATGTTTGTTACCTGGGAACGTGTAGCTGTAGCAATTATATCACGAATTTGCCCTATGAGCAACGCAAAAACAAATACTCCCATGAGCCATGCACATGTCATGAACAAATACTCATCAACTTCATATGGTTTTGGGTTTTTTCCAATAGAAGTAGCTGTTTTGGTAGCAAAAGCGAAACAGCGCACGTATGGATGTCCCTTTCCACTAAAGACCCACCTATTAGATCCAAGTCCTATAGTTGAATGAAATAGAGTAAGTGAATTTACAATGCATTTAAAATGTTATTGATTCCACAGTTACCTTTATAGTAGCTGACTGCATAATAAATACAAGCAGTTAAATGGATCATATAAAGCATATATGATAATGTTTTTCCGACTCTAAGCATGTGAGGGGAAGCAATTATTCGATCTAAAAGTTTAAAGAATTCCCAAAATGATTGAATTTTCAGTAAACGAGGAATTCTCAAGTAAACTGCGCCTGTTCCAAAATATGGATGTAAATATAGAAGATCAAGTGGAATTAGCGAAAAAACGTCTAATTTAAATTGTAGCTTTCTCATGTAATTTTTTCGTGTAAGTTGACAATCACGAATCCAAAATCCCTCGTAGAGATACATTGTACGATGTTTTATAAATAAAAGATCAATTAGATAAATTACATCACAGCAAAGATCAGTTATTATCCAAATGTGTTTATTTTCCGTTGTTTGAAAAGGAAACGATGTTCGCAATGGAATCACAAAAGCATTATATAAAAATGAAAGTGTGACTATGAAAAGCCACGAAATATAGAATCTACCTTGCGGATCTAGCACTGCATCAGAGAAGCAAAAAACTGTTCGGCGTAAATTTGTTGCATTTTTTTGACTATCCTCGTAGTTTATCTTCAATTCAGGACTATTTTTGTTGTTTGATTGATGTTCTACAATAGATTTTTGTTCATTATTTGACTCCATCACAACAACATCTTCATTGTCATCATAATGACAATCTTTATTAATATTAGATTCTTTCAAATTACTGCAAGAACTTGAAGGTGTTATAGGCATTTCTAAATTACTTCTCATTCGTTTTGCTCGATCATTAAATCTTCCAATGAGACGTCGTAATGATTTTTGCATCAAATCATTTTTATGTAAATTTCCGAATATATCAGAATTACTTAGGTCCATTCCATGTTCTTTTAATCCATCTTTGGTATCAGTATTGGTGTCATTTTCATCAATGTTTTGTTCTTTTTCAATATTTTCCTTTGTTTCCTTTTCTAAGCATTCAGTTTGACTGTTTTTCGATTCAAAAACTATAACACGCGAATTTTCTTCATTTTTTTTCACAATTTTGTTCTGATATGGAAATGAAGACTGTTTGGAACTTTCTGAATTCGGATAGTTGTTTTCGAAGCATAAATAATTATTTTGATCATTTATTATTTGCTTGACAATGTCATGAGTCAACTGAACATTTGAAGGATTATACTTTGTTCCATCATTTCCCAGACAGAAAATTTTTCCATTTTTAAAACTTAAGGGTGGTGTTGCAGACACAGCGTTTACGCACTTGTTCTTTCTTTTTCTTTCTCTTTGATAAAGTTCACAATCTCTATAACGTTCTCTGCATAAAATGTCTTCAGTTAGAACCAAGAAATTATCAAGATTCTCTAAATTTTTTTCAACATCTTCGAGAGAAGTTGAATATTCATTTGATGATGATGAAGATTTTAGTGACGTTTGTAAAGTTGGCGACATTAAAGGTGATATTAATGGTGATCCTGGGACCGACTCGTTGCTCATGATTTAGGAAATGAACTACAGCAGATTAATATCCTTAAACTCTAAGTGTTTAAAGTTTCAATTCTTCAATTTATGAATGCGTACTAAAAGAAAAAACAGATATTGCATTGATTAATCGCTTGGATTGAGAATAACTATTACGCAGGGAAACAATGAAATAATATTCAATAAATTGACAATAAATCGTGCTTAATATTTTAATGTATAAACTTAATGAACTTGCAATTGTTAACTTGAAAGTTATTTGTAATACTGCCTGATATGAATATAAATAATACATTTTTGGAAACATGCTGTACGCTTTTAAAATATCAACATGAAAAAATAAAAAATAATCATTTGAAGGTCAGGCCAAATGCAAAGAAACTCACAAGTTGTATAAAATGAAAAATTGAGAACTTTCAAAGAGGATCAATGTAAAGATGTGAAAATTAGAATTAGTCAATTAGAATAATTAGGTGCCAGATTAAGTTATGAATCAATTTGTTTTAAATATAGCGTAATAAATTTATTGTTCATATCTTAGTCATTGTTGTTGATTGTTGTAGAACTTAGATATTAAAAATTTTATACGATATTTCGGAGTAAATTGTCATTTTTCATGATTTTCAGTTAAACATTTTTATTAATCTATGAAGAAATATTGAAATTTTGTTTAAGGACACTACAAGGGCAGAACAAACAACAATAAATTGTTGAAATTAAAACATTAAATATATTTTAACTTTTTCTTAGTTCTATTCTATTAACTTATGCTTTATTTTAACTGATTTCGAAACTTATGGTAAACTTAACTATTCACCTTAAACACTTAATTTTACTTTAACTCTTCAATACAGCAAGAAAATTTATTTAAATGCGACAAGACTAATACCTACTTTTCGTAGAATAGATACAGGGAAAAATCCTTATACAGGACACAAACAAAATTCCAAATTACGTGAGAGAGATAAAAATATATTAATGTTTAGCATTTATTTTTCAAAGATTCAATATGTTTTAGTTTTTCTAGAACAATTTTTCTTTTCAAAAAACTTGGAACAGTATATATTTCTTTAGAATTTCCATTTTTAAAAGTTTGTATATTTTGCATTAAATTTCTTGAGATTGAATTTTTACCCTACTCGTTACACAAATTCGCACATGCGTAAATGAAGCATTTGAAAATACATCATATGCATAACGTCAACAGATCAAGTACAAGTACTCAATTTTGGATAAATCAATTTTGATGTCATTATATTTCATTTCATTTGATAAAAGTTCACACGAAATGAAAGAAAGCACTATAATAATAATTTATTTTAAAAATCAAATTTTAATATAAAGATGACACTTACGAGAATTAACATTTCGGCTTTTTTTGTAATTAAAGCGGATACCAACTTTCGATTGGTGTATGTAAAGCAAATTTATAATAGATATGCTTCTAATAAAAAAAAAACGCGGAACACGTATGTAACATTTCTACGCACATTTCAAAATGTAGGTAGTTTCGTAGAAACATGCACTTCAAAGTTGTTAATTGAAAAGAAATTCTCCGTTTCACGCACATGGACGGTATTTTTCATAAATATCGCGAAAGTGCCTTAGTCTATTAAAATAATTTGGAAACGCTCATAGAATAGAATCAATCAGATCAAATCAAAGAGGCGATAAGAGATACATTTGGAGAAACTCCTTTGTTAAAAAGAAATTTTTCAAAAGTAATTAGATAGTAATGTGTGCATGATTAGATATTATATTTACATATTAAATCCATCCTTTCTTTATAATTCTAGATTTTCATTCAATATGTAGATATTCAGCATAGTCAATAATTTACAAAAATAAATAGGATACTAATTTAAACAATAGTTACTTATGTACATTGAATTGTATTTGCAGATTAACTGTTAAAAATACTAGATTTTCGTATAAAAAAATACTGTGCTATGCTCCCATTTCCATAAGTGACGTATTTTCATAGAACTTTAAATACGCCTTGGTGTATTATTGATAAGCTTTAGTTCTGTATACTACATTTAATGAAAATACGTCACTTACGGAAATTGCAGCTTTATTCATTTCAAGCACAGAATCTTTTATTTTCATCATCTTTAGCCAGTAAGGAACAACTCGAAATCGTATGTACCTAGTAGAGAACCAATTAACTTTGAGTTTAATTTTATTTGATTTCATATATGTATAAATAATTGTGATTGAAATACATAAATAACTTTTTAACTAACCAATATAAAGATAGATACAAATTATAAGTATAAGTTATATAATAGACAATTTTAGTCTACATACCTGCATAATAAAATAAAAATAGCTGCAATTTTCAAATGGAAATCAGTAAATTGTTACACATTTCTGCTAAATAGATATTTAATAAATTTATTTAACAAAAATTAACAATAATGGACATTTGTCATTTTTAGTCATAAAAACTGTTAACATGTCTTTTTTTATTAATACATTTTCAATTCTTTTGATTTAAGCTGGTATGGCGGTCAAATTTCAAAATTTATGAATAAGGTAGGTATTCGATTTTAGAGATAATTCAAAACTGAAAATATTAGATGATCTCATAATAATCTTCATAGGCAAGCTCTCATGTTTACGAAAAATATTAATTTACATTTTCTGAATTATATCATACTTCTTTCTCACATCTAATCCTTCAGTTTTAGGATCTGGGCGTTTTTTGTTTTTAAGTTGGGCACGCATTTCAGCCACGGTTATAGGAAGTTGGAGCACACCCACCGAAGATTCCTCCGAATCTTCACTTCGAAATGTTTCAAGTGTAGCTTCATCTTTTTCCGAACGTGACTCTCTTGAAATATCTTTATTGTCCTCTGATGAGTTCATGTCTGTATGGGAGTTGTTCTTCTCCTGACTTTCAATACTATTCATTGTTGCCTTCATTTTTTCAATAGCTTCCAATTGTTTAGGATTATTAATGTCAGCTTTTGGATCAATTATAAGTAATTTTGTGTATTCTGAAATCGCCTTTATTTTTTCAACAACCTGTTTATGAGTATCAGCACCAATGCTAACCCCATTAACTTCAAGTATCCTGTCCCCTTGCCGAAGTCCTGAAGATTCAGCTGGTGAATTTACATCTACTTTTCCTATATATTGACCTGGACGACCTTTTTCTGCATGAAGGTTAAATCCGTAACCATCGAAGTCAGCCCGTTTCGAAACATGACATAACCGAGGCTCATAAACTTGTTCCAACTGCGACATTATATCTAATTTCCAGAATTTCTTTTATTTAAGTATAAAGAGGCTTTTTTGAAGCTTACACGGAAAATATGATTAAATTGTGCGTTGAGGAATGACGTTTTTCTAAAATGGTAAATTATAAACAAATTTAATTACTCAATTTTTTTATTAAATTACAAAAATTACAATTCAAAATGATTTGGCCTTTTCTTCACGATCACAAGTTCCAGACTGAAATATTCATGCCACACACGAACAATATGTTTGCTGTATTAGTTGAGTACCTATTGAATGCTGAAGCATTTTTCAAAGGTAGTAAGAATTCAGTTGTTTTTTGTACAACGTACACATTGGTTGAAAAATACTTACGTGTCGAAATGTTCTGATCTTTTTTTTGTACACACAACGCTGTCCTAATTTAGTCACTAATATTAAGGAAAATACAATACAACCATATTAATACACTTGTTAAATAATCCAACAAAAAATCTTGCAAATATTTTTATCCTATGTTAAAAATTTATGAAAAACATACAACAAACTTTGTACAAAATTATAAATTTTTTTTAGCGATTCTATATTTTTATGTTTTCTTATTTGGTTATTTTTGTTAGTTAGGTATCTACTTATTTAGTTTTAATCAGTTTTGGTTTTAAAAATATAAAATATCTATACAGTAAGAGAAAATTCCATATAACAAATGTTGAAAATAGCATTTCAATAATTTCTCTAATACAGTTTTTTGTAAAAACTTAAAGGTAATATGAAGCTGACTTACAAAATTAATTTATTTTTGGTGTGGAGTAGTTCCAGGTTATACCAAACGGTTATAAATCAATTACGTTTCCACTAAGGACTTAGTAAGTCTTTGTGAAGATAAAATATAATTTTATGCCTCTCAGTTTACATCAAAATTGTGAGATTTTTTTACTTATTTTTTGATAAAACTGCAGAATAGTTCTACAGATTTGGTTCTCTACAAATATTTATAACATTTGCACTCCGTAATTTTTAATGTAAGTATTTTATTTTCTCTCGAAACGCTTTCTTAATCTCGGTGATAATTTCTAATTTGTCAATAATCTTCATTATTATCAGGTCTTAGGGACTAAGAAGACCCTCACCTGACTGGATTTCCTTTCCTGGTGTGCAACATGCTGGAGCGATATCACCAAAAATTCAACTGTTTTATTCAAATTTATGTGTGCTACATTATCTGTATAGTGGGTTCTAAATAAAAACGCTCTTCAAACGATAGAAAGATTTTCTCGATTGTGCGGTATTTTTTGTCTCCCTTCGTTAGCCATTGTTAAATCAAGAGTACACTGCCTGTTTAAATATTACTAAATAATTAGACAATAAATAATTATATTTATATTTATTTTCATTCTTCACACGCTATTATTTGCGTATCTTTATATAGGTATAGATAGTCTAAAAACATGTATATTATATTCATGTATGTATATTAGATAAAATATCTATTTATATACAAAGAATTTAAATGCATGGTAAAACAATGTCTACCTAGATTTCAAAGATATCTTATTAATGATGAATCATGATTTCAACTTGCTTTAATATATGCGGTCATTTATTTTAAAGTATAAAAACAGTTAAAATATTTTTCTCTTATAGGATGCACGCTGAATAGCTTTAGATATGTAAAAGTTTATTTTCTCTCTGACAAGGATAAATTCATCGTAGTGCTTTTGCCTGCTGCCTATACATGATGCTTCGAAAAGCGGAAAACCTGAAGTGAAAAATCAAAAAGCTTTTTTTATTCTAAATCGTTCAAGTTCAGCTTCAAATTGGCGCAAATTTTTGTAAATCATCCATGAAAGTTATTTAAGATTTTATATGATAACAAAGGAGAAGTGCAACCTTGTAAATTAAATTGAAAGAATTTCTTATCAAGAATTGTGAGATTTGGGCATCCAATTGAAAGTGTATGCCCGTATCAGTACTTTTTTTCTGTTTTCGTTTGATAAAATATTTACCAATATCAGTACAAATCGAAAATTTCGAAATAAGTTTTGTTATCAAGGTTTCAATTTACACATTTTTTCCATGAAAATTGGCCTCAAAAATTTTATTTTTATTTATTTTGGTTAAATGTAGATAGAATTTTACACTTCAAGGAAAGAGAAAAATCTTAATTTTTACAGATTAAGAAATAATGATAACGAAGTCAATAATTTCCTACTTTAATGATTTCCACAATTTATAATCCAAAATTTTAGGTATTGGAAAACCACTTTCCAAAAAACAAAAACTTTTCATCTGGTAAAGCTCTCCAAAAGTATTATCATTCCTGCGAAAAAGCAGATATTTCTAACGGAAAAACCTCTTCAAGGACATAATGTCTGACTCACCTTTTCTTGGTCGGCGAGCAATGATAACACCTACGTAGAGGAAACCGTTTACTATAAAACTATATAGGGTAGTCTACAAGTAATGTTACCACAATGAAATCGTGATTAGTAGCGCAACCACTAGTTTCGAACTTAATTTTCTTTGATATTCTTTATTAGATATAGCCTAAAACCTTTTAGAAATGTACCTACTTTGGACAATATTCTACTTCTTTTTGTAGCCTTGAAAAAATAAAAAGAGAGTAAGTAAAATGCGCACATTGTACAGTGGAATTCCACTGTCAAAAAAAGTTAATTTATTGAATTTCGTACTACTGAAGTTTCATGTTGAAACCCTAAAAATTGCTTAAGTAAAGTATGAATTACCTTTATGAATTACCCCTTATTTAATAATATGTAAAATTAGCACTAAAAGGTAACAGCATATGTCTGAGCAGTGCATCATCAAAAGATTTCTAGTTATCATTTGATGTTTTTATTCTAGACAGAGATTAAACTTAAGTATGCATCTGCATTATGAGTGAAACATATATTACAAAATCCATGATGGAATCATTTAGGTATATTTTAAAAACTATTTCCAAATATCTCTTCAAGATATAAATAAACGACAAAAACAGAGAAATAATTCCATGTTACACTCGAAAACAATTAAGGAATTTATTTATCAACATCATTAAAACTGATATCTAGTATTTTTATTATTTACAGACACAAGTTTTTACAGGTGTTGAGTAAGGTGCCGCTTTTGTTTTAGTGTTAGTTTTTTTCGAATTCTTTTCAACCATTTCATATGACGATCATTTCATATGTGGAAGTAACATTGACGTTACCTTAGTGGTGCTTTGTAAAAGTGGCACTTAAATTTTTATAAAGTTATAAATTTAAAAAATCTTAAAAGGTAATTCATGAAGTATTTATCTAAACATTTGTGCTGTGTTCAAATAAATATAAAAAAATGCAGTTTTAAAGCATAGAAAAACAAATTAGATATTATAACATAGGATTTAATGTTAACTTTTCAAAGTGTTTTGGAAATTAAAAGAAAATTTTATGCATTACTTTTTGAAAATATAGATTATAATAAAAGAGAAAAAGGTATAGCAAGTTAAATATCTATAGAAATATAGTATAAATTCATCGGAAAACTTTTATTATTACCATTCAAATGTAGTCATGTAAATAGTAGGAATAATAGCAATAATAATAATACCCACCTAGGTAGTATGAAGAGAATTTAAAAATTTCACTCTATACATAGTAAACCTAAATTGTGCAACACGTTTTTAAACTTGAAAAATACCTTTGAATATCAATTTAAAGAATTTCTAAATAAAACAGATAAAAACTAAACTACGTAGTCTTAGAAAAAATAATAGATGTGAAAAAAATAATTTAATCCACCAAGTTTATCGATGTATTTTTATCTAAGTATAAGAATTTTTTTTTTGTGTGATAAGCAAAACAGACTCTAACACTATTTTTTCTTATCTAAGTTTGCCACTTAAAAATTTATCTCACCTTTTATTGTGAGCTGATGTCAATTTTACAATTAAAGTACTTTAACTTATCACTTGTTGGTTAGAAAAAGTTACAGTTAATGCCGCCGATGAAGAATTTATCACTTAAGTTGAGTTTACTTAAATTTAAAGTGATTAAGTGTGCACATTATGTTTTAATCCTTTTAAAAAACTTAAGAATTATCAGTAGTTGCTTATGTTTGTCCCCGCTCAAAAAACTTCAATTGATTTTTGAGGATTTACTTACTGTGGATTTTGAAACTTTTTATTTTATTCCCAATAGAATTCATATAAAAGTTTTGCTCAAAAATGGCTCACAATATGAATTCAAATGGAGCTTACTCTGGAGATGAGCGTGGGGAATCACCTAAATCTTTGGATGATCATCAAATAGATGCAGATCTTAATAACAAGCCAATTTATCTTTTGGAACATTTGGCCACATTCACTGTTGATAAGGAGTCTGGGATTCTTTATCCAGCAGACGGAATGAGAAAATTGTTGCTTTTAGAGAAAACAACAGGCATTTGGTCCCAAAAAATGCAACTTTGCCTTGATAGACAATGGGTGCTGATTGTTGATTATGAGACTGGAGTAATTTTCTTTTTTTAATCTTACTGTCCACATAAATTATCTAAAACAATATTGCTTTCAGAACATCATTGAACGTTTTCCAGCTACATTAATACAAGAACCCACTGCTTTCACCAGCAGCGACCCAATTGAGATGTACAACAATATTCTGGTTTTCATTGTTGGAGGTGACCCCAGCGCTAGATCGGAAATGCACATTTTTCAAGTGAGTCTGTTCTTTTCTATTATATATTTACCACTTTTACTTTACAACTCTCTCTGGAATTATCACTCCAATCAGAATAATCAGAGTTTAGTTTCTCTTTTATTTATCGTTGTGTATTTTTCTTCCTTTTATTCTTCCCAAAGTAGGTATTCATAAAAAAAAATCTTCTACACCAGAAAAGCTTCCTTAAATATATTTTTTCAAGCATATATTTAAAAATATCACTTTTCCCAGACAGTAGAAGAGTATAATATATTTGATTCCTTTCTTCTATTTTAGTGTCAAAGTATTTCTGCAATACACCTTGTTGAGGATTTGAAGCTTCTTCGTAATGGAAAACTTATTCCTAAATATCGAGAGCCTATTCCAGTATCAAAGCCATTGCAAAGTGGTTCTCACAATTCTCCAAAAATGTCAATGATGAGGTCAGAACGTGTTGTGGATGAAACAGACTCTGAATTAGGTGGCATAAATGATGAAACATCTTCAACATCGAGTGAAAAATATGAACGTGATGTCACTGTTCTAAATCATTGTTTTGACGACATTGAGAAATTCATTGCTAGATTACAACATGCAGCAGCAGCAAGTCGTGAATTGGAACGTCGACGACGAAACCGACGATCCAAGAAAAAGGATCCGGGAGAGGGACTTTTGACTTTGAGAACAAGACCTCCTCATGAGAAAGAGTTTATTGATATTTTTGCAAAGTTTAAATTATCATTTAATTTACTTGCAAAATTAAAATCACACATCCATGATCCAAATGCGCCAGAATTGGTCCACTTTTTGTTCACACCTTTAGCTCTAATTGTTGACGCTTCTCATGACACTTGCTATGATCCAAATCTTCCGGCAAGAGTTGTCGAACCTCTTCCTACTCGGGACGCAATAAACTTGCTTAACAACTGTGTCACTAGCAAAGAGATGGAGCTCTTGAGATCACTAGGAGATGCTTGGACAATTCCAAGAGATAAGTGGAAAGGTCATTCACAAACTTCTTATCATCCAATATTTTTTGACGGATGGTCTCCTGATTATCCAGTAGGAGAAGATGCAGACTTTTCAAAAGGGCGATACACAGATTTTGATGAGTTCGGAGATTCACCAGCTATCACAACAACAGGAATTATGAATGTTCCACAGCCTCATTCTCCAGTGATTCGAGATTTTTCAACTCGAAGTGAAATTTCAGTCGATTCAATTGAAAGAAATGGACGAGCATCTGCTATAATGGTTCCAGAAAGGCATTCTTCAGCATCAGGTCTTGATCCTGCAACCGAAGCGTGGCTAGAAGAGTTACAAGCAAGAGAAGCGAAAATTGTTCAAGTTACTTATCCTCGAACTGCAAATAATGATAAAGAATTAACCGTAGTTCGAGGTGAATATTTGGAAATACTGGATGACTCAAGGAAATGGTGGAGAGCAAGAAATATAAGAGGAAAAGTTGCTCACGTACCACATACAATTGTGACAGCCCCTCCATTTTCAGAGATCAATGAAAAAGAAGGAACATATGCAGGGCCTCATTCAGCAAGTAGTTATAATAAAACTAAGGTATGATAATAATCAAAGGTCAATAATTTAACTTCATTTTTCTAAAAGAATAAGAGTTTTTCAACTTCCATACTATCACGGATAATTCTTTTTAAGTGTTTAACACGGATTTAGTTTAGTGTTGAAAATGTTAAAAATCAAGCCTAAGAAAATTAAGTATTTTATATCATTTCCAAATTAAACGAGTAATTATCCTCATCTTCTTCTGACGGCAGAAGCAAACGCGACAAAACATTTAACACTTTTAAGATACGTTTTATTTCCAAATTGCTTCTAAGTTACTTTTTATGTCACTACCTAAAATTTAGAAGAAGTCATTGTGTGCTTTATAACTTTACCAGTAGGTAATTGATTTCAAAAATCAAACTTCTCTTCAAACTATAATGCACATTTGATATTGTATAATTAAATGCTCCTAAATATTTCATAACTTTTCTCTCAATATTCTTTTCACAGGAAGAAATTAGAACACAACAAAATGTTATGTCTGATGAATGGGTACGCAATAAACATTTGGGTAAGAAAGGAGAATTCCGATACTTTTAAATTCATATGGCACCAAACTTTAAATTTAAAAATTTTGTATTCACTTTCATTTTAGTTTCATGAACTTTTTCGTTTTATGTTGTTTTGTTTTCTTTAACATTAGAAAAAATTTACACTTTGGAATATACCTAGTGTTCGATAAATAGACACCGTTTAATTCGCATTAAAATATAAATATTGAAAATGCGCTTCAAGTTGCTTGCTTTTATTTTTTATCATAATATCCTAAAATTAATCTCATATACACGTAACAAATTATCGCAGATGGTTGTTCTCATTTCAATTCATTATCAAACATGTTTGATTATAGAGAATCTCTTATTCATTACTTGCAATCTCTGGGCCTGGCCCTAGGTAGCAATACAAATTCTTTATAATATAATGACCAAGAAAAAAGACTTTCATACTTTAATATGACTTTCAAACAAACAAAAATTTTAAATTTGATTCAAATAATAAAAAATAACTTACGAACAAACATATAAAGCCTATATATCAGGTATTTACAAAGTCGTTTTACAAATTTTACGAATTCTCACAAGAATCATCCTTCTATAATGTTTATTAAATGATTATTAAAGTATATATGAAATACTAATGCGACATTAAATTTTGTCCATTAAGTATACAAGAAATAAATATTTGAAAAAATCATTCAAATTAATTATAGCTATAAATATGCATATACATATAAGTAAATACCTATATAATAGTCCATTAAAACTTTGACCATTTAACATAGGAATTCTTACCTATTTAATAAATGGCTTAAAATCAAAAATGAAAAAAATGAGGGATCAAAATATCTCAGAGGGATGTTTCCTAAAAAATAATATCTAAGTAAATTTCCCCGAAATATCCAAAAATAGATACATTATTAGGTTTGTTTAACTCAATTTACAAATATTTCAATCATTTAAATTTAAATGCTTATTTTAAAAACTAATGTTACTCAAAGTAATGAGGAGAAGGTTATGGATATTTTAATTTATAGTTTGGATATTACCTAAGCAAACTTTATGAAGAATATATTATGATAAAAATTGAAACTTGCAAATTATTATTATTATGTTCAAAAAAATGATCAAAGTTTAAGATCAAACGTAATTTGACACTTTCATATTTATGAATCAAATAATATTCTTTTTATTTGCCTTTAATGTAGAGTTTGTATGAAAACTTCGAAATATTTATTTTTTGTTACTGTCTTTTCCAATGAAAATATATAAACTCATAGATTTAAATACATATTTAATATTTACGAGTATTTTTATTTAAGAAATAGAATTATTTTATTTTCCTATTCTCAATGGTGTCCTATATGAATAGATAATTCTTCATTATTTTCATTATCCGATGT